TAGAATAGAATAGAATAGAATAGAATAGAATAGAATAGAATAGAATAGAATAGAATAGAATAGAATACCAGAGTTGGAAGGAACCTTGGAAGCCTTCTAGTCAAACCCCCTGCTTAGGCAGGAAACCCTATACCATTTCAGACAAATGGTTGTCCAATCTCTTCTTAAAAACATCCAGTGTTGAAACATTCACAACTTCTGGAAACAAGTTGTTCTACTGATTAATTGTTCCAACTGTCAGGAAATTACTTCTTAGTTCTAAGTTGCTTCTCCCCTTGATCAGTCTCCATCCATTGCTTCTTTTGCAGCCCTCAGGTGCTTTGGAGAATAGCTCAACTCCCTCTTCTTTGTGGGATATCGGAATGCTGCTATCATGTCACCCCCTAGTCCTTCTTTTCATTAAACTAGACATAGCCAATTTTTGTAGAATAAGAATTACAATTTACTCTTAAAGTTTATTCTTCCATCTCCTCATTCTTGAAAGGTTTTGAGTTGTAACTAATATCTTCCCCCTTTTTAAAAGCAAGTTTGCTAACCCTATCATCCAAAAAATCATGCATTGTCAAAGAAGGCTGTTTTATACTAAATTAATCAGCTCTCCCACAACCTCTCATCAAAGTAATTACTATTATTAGGTTGAGATAGGGCACAAGAAGTAACCAAACTGGATCTGGCATACGGAGTCACAGAATAACTTAAGATGAATGTCAAAGACTGGCAGATATACCGGGGAATCCAGTAGCCTATTTATTTCCACTCATCTCTCCCAAGAGAACTAATCTGATACCATAGTTAACACGCACAGGGCTAAAAAAATGGAAGACAGTGAATTCTAGTCCTGCCTTAGGCAGAAAGCCAGCTGGGTGATCTTAGGCCAATCACTCTCTCTAGCCCTAGGAAGGAGGCAATGGCAAACTACAGAAATCTTGCCAAGAAAACTGCAAGAATTCAACCAGTCAAAAAAGACACTCAAAGGCACATGTGCATAGACATATGCATAGACTATCTCAAGTATCAATGGTTATTTTCTAGAGTTCCTCTTAGTGTTATTTTGCTCTTAAGGGTTGCTCTTAATGTCTCCTTTCTCACGTGAGTGCTTTTGGCTCCACTTGTATGAGCAGCGCAGGTGCTCTCAGCCCCGCCCCCCACAGCATGAGCAGAGAATGCTCACGTGCGCATGCTCCTACCCTCCCATCTTACTATAACCTCATGGTAACATGGGTGGCCAATAAATTTTATAAATAAATAAATAATTTATTTATTTATTCCATCATTTCAGCAATTAGATTCAATCCAGCTCCTTCAAATCCACGATCACTATCGACTGTAGGTCTCAAAATTGGAAAAGCACGTTGTTGTCAATTCAATATTATGACTAGCAAAAGTTCTTGAAAATAAAGTTTTTTGGGAAGATATTGTGATTATAAAAAACACAATGCTGGAAAAGATAATTTCATGTGCTTATAGTCCTAAGTACATTTTATAGCTTTTCACTCTGATTTTTATAATGGATGCCAAACAGTCAGGGTGTTTTCCTCCTTTTCTCCCCATTTGGCCTCCTTTCCAATTGTCTGTGTCTTCTTTTGCCTGTTCAGATATCTGATAGTTATATCCTATAGACTCTATCTGCATAAATCAAGGGACACTGAGATAATTGCATAGGTTCCTCACTGTGGAAATTTTTATCCTGACCCTTGGGCAAAGGCAAAACCAACCATTGTAAATAAATTTTCCAGACCATCCAGATAAATTTTACATTCAATATCTATTCAGAGACAAAGAGGTCAAAAGTTACATATTCCTTTGCAAAATGCTGACATAAGGCCTTGTAACCTTCGGGCTGAAATAACTTTGTAAATAATTTAGGACAAATTTTTAAAAGTTTAAATATATAGTTTTCTTATTATTTTCTACTGGTTCTATCTTTTAATTTTTGGTTTATGCTTATTATAGTTTAGCTGCTCTCTCATCTAAGACAGTAATAACATTTTCATTATCCAATCTATCAAAAGATTTTCTTTATACTTAAGAGGAAACATACACATCTTTTCCGGGAAAGCAGGTTGTTTTCTTAAGAAGAAATTGGTGAAAAGATAGCCTGTTAACTTCTCACTCAACAAAGGAAAATAACCATAGCGCTCAGTCCAGTAAGATGGAAGGAATGGAAAATACCATGGAGCTGCCATCCCGTATTTCCCTGAAATGAGAATAGTGACAAAAATGGGAGAGAGGTTGAAAAGCTCTGTAGTAACATTTTGATATTATCTCAACAATATCAGACCTAAAGAAAACAATAGATGAGTTTTGTGTGCTTTCAATCATCTCAAAGTATGAGAATACTGTTCTCTTCCCAAACAACAAACAGCCACATTATTTCAACTGCACATTTGACTGCTAAATATTCATGCGAAATCGTAGGCAGGCATTTCTGAATTTATCTGAAATGAAATCTATGAAAACAGAGCAGGAAACAGTGTGCTACAGAATTCATTTGAACTTTTTCCTGTGTGAGATCATGGACACTTCCGCATAGCAGTTGTTACAACAAGAAGCACTCTGCTCTGAAGAATTAATTCCTTCTATTTCTGTTGTAAAAGCCTCTGCTAATTATGAAGCTAAAAGAATAGCATGGTAGCATTTTTGCAGCTAGGCTGCTGTAGTCAAATCTTTACAAGTGGGGAAATGGATGGGATGGAGAATAACAGTTCATTTGTTTTCCTGGGATTCTTGGAAATAATCAGAAGAATTGAAGCAGTGGTGGGATTCAATATTTACCACCACCGGTTCTGTGGCCATGGCTTGGTGGTCATGTGACTGGGTGGGCATGGCTAACTCAATGTCACTCACAGCAAGGTGGGGTGGCACCTTCCTGTGAATGACGTTGAGTTGGCCACGCCCACTCAGTTACATGACCAATGCTGCAGAGATAAGGAGATTGCCTATGTATGTACCCCAATCAAAATTTTCCCTATTTCTCATTGTCACCAGTCATTATTCTATATATAAGTAGTAATACAATGATGTTACCTTAAACTCCATTAAAAATCTATCCTTTTCCAGTGGATGGTTTTAGTGATTTCCCAGAAATAAAGATAGCATAGATATTATAGGATAATTTGTCCTAACTTTACATTTTTAATTGTCAAATAGCATCCTTCAAAATACAGTATTTTTAATAATCACTATTGCATACCTGGAAAAACGTTCCTGATGTACCAGCCCAGAATGAAATAAATAAAAGAATCTATCAGAATTAACCAGCACATCCAGCTAAAATTAGTATTGTCTCCTGATATTGGTGACACATTTATATTATCCCATTGCAGACCTATAAAAAAGAAGAGAGGGGATACACAGAATAACCTGCATTAGCAAATGAACACACAGTATTTAATTTGGACTATTAAGATATATTTTTCTTATAAAAATGTATAGGTATAGATAGATACCAATGCCTTGTTCTTCGTAACGGGCAATATACTGACTTCCATAGCTGAATGCAGTTGGAGATAAAAGGCTCTGGAAAAAAACAGGAAGAAAGGTAATTAACAGAGATATTTCCAAACACACACATGCAGAGAGACAGAGAGATAGAGATTCATCTGTATCTGTATCTCTATCTATCTATCTATCTATCTATCTATCTATCTGGTAGTCTTGAACAATAGCGTGTTTCTCCAACAATACAGCCTCCCCCAATAGGAAGACCCAGCATGTTTTCTAGGGATAAAATGAAATTAAGCCCCTCCCCCCAAATTTAGGCCTATTTTAAAACATGCAAAATGGGGGGAAGGGCCATTAGGAGCGCCCCGTGGGTAGCCATGCCTTGCCACCAGCTGCTCCTAATGGGTGACCATGGCGTAGCACAGAGAGCTCCCTACTCCTGCCAAGCACGTTTCCTGCAGACCCGAGACCTTCAGTGCTTGCCGCTGTTGATTTCCCTTCTGCCCATACCGCCACCACGTTTGGAGCTGCCACTTCTACATTTGGAGCACCGCTGCCGTTTGGAGCTGCCACTTCTGCATTTGGAGCTGCTACTGCGTTTGGAGCACTGCCACTGCATTTGGAGCTGCTGCTTCCATGTTTGGAGCGCCACCGCTGTTTGGAGCACCGCTGCTGCTCCAAACGGCGGCAGAGCTCCAAACGCAGCGGCAGCTCCAAATGCGGAAGCGGCAGCTCCAAACATGGTGGTGCTCCAAACATGGAAGCGGCAGCTCCAAACGCAGTGGGGGCATGGGCAGAAGGGAAATCAACAGCGGCGGGCACCAAAGGTCTCAGGTCTGCAGCAAAGGTATTTGGCGGGAATAGGGAGCTCTCTGCGCTCTGCCATGATCACCTGTTAGGAGCGGCTGGTGGTGAGGCTGCCCACAGGGTGCTCTAGACGAGGATGCAAGGGGGGGAATTAAGTCACCCCCGAAAACACAGCCTAGCCATTTTTTTAGGGCTCAAAAAAATGTAAGACTCGGCCTTATTTTATGAGAAACACTACCGTACATAGCTGTAACATAGAAAGAACACAAGGATGATTTGGCTCTAGTTGTGATGGATTAGTAGTTATGGATTTTAATTTAGCTCACATCTTTCCAACAAGAATCATGTTCACAACTATTCTTTAGGTAATTGAATTAAAGGCTTACCGTACTTTTAGCTTTTGTTATTTCATCTTATTTATTTTTATTTTAACTTATTCTAATAAGCTTCATCATCCAGCCCAGATTTAACCAGGACAAGGTATCCAAACTTAAAACATTATTATTCTAATGTATGTTTAGAAAATAAACCTTTGTTGTAAACCAAATTTTAATTTCATTTAGAGCAGTTGCATTCAATATTCAGTTCAAGCAATTTGTAGAAGGAATGCTAATACTTTATTCAGAACTCTCACAAAATAGCTTCCCTATTCACAAAATTGTTGTCTGGCTGATAATACAAAATTGAGAAGATATCATTCCCATCATTTCTATGTGTTGAAGACTTTTTTTTTAAAAAAAGAAAAATCTCCAAGGGCTGGAAGGGACCTTGAAGAACTTCTAGTCCAACCCCTGCCCATGGCAGGAGTCCTTGTTTCATCCTGGACATATATGAAGAGGGTTTGGCAGGGACTTTGTTGATAATGTACTATCACTTTCTTTTTAATTTGATGGCTATGTCTTTCTTTTCTTTTTACTACTCTCAAAACCAGTACTAAAAGCAAAAAACAAAAATAACAATCTTATTTTCTTGATCTGTGAAATAATTTTTTAAACATTTCCATATTACAGTAGGTGCCCAATGACTAAGGATTACAGTTGTGATGGGGCAGCACCGTCACAGAAGGTATGTTTTGTGCAGTAAAGGACCCAGATTCAGTACTTGGCAAGTCAAATGGACGCTTCAGGCATCCTAACAATTTCCATCTCAAGCAGTGAAGCACTGTATTTAATTTAAATGGATGGGGCATTACTTGACATAACAAAAGACAGTGTCCAATGTTCATGCTACTATTGTCTGTGGCTGCAAGACAAAGCAAATCCAAATCTATAAGTAGATTGCTTCAGGGGTGAGATTCAAATTTTTAACCGGTTCTGTGGGCATGGCTTAGTTGGTGGGTGTGGCTTGGTGGTCATATAACTGGGTGGACGTGGCTTGGTGGTCATGTTATTGGCTGGGTGTGGCCAATTCAATATCACTCACATCAAGGCACGCATCTCCTCGCCTGGCCTCTCATGACTGTGGGGATGTTTCAACAGTCATAAGTGTGAAAAAGGGTCATAAGTCACTTTTTTCAGTGCCATTGTAACTTTGAATGGTGACTCCACACAAGCAAAGTACCAGCAAAGGAGGGGAAAAAAAACTCCAGAGAAGTTCCTGAGACAGGAAGTCTAGTCCTGCCAAGAATGTAATAAGGGTTAACGGAGAGGCAGTTTCTGTAAGCAATACCAGAATGTTTCCTTTCTGCCTTCCTTACAGGATTAGGCCAGTAATTTCTTCTAACAACCGGTTCTCCGAACTGCTTAGAATGTTAACAACAGGTTCTAGCAAATAGGTGCGAACTGGTAGAATCCCACCCCTGGATTGCTTCCCCCACAAAAGTCCAGTTGTAAATTCCCCATTTTTTTCTAGAAAATGTATACAAGGACAGATTTACCAGTAGGCTCTTGATGGTGAGGCTCATCTGATTCTCAACAACTAGTAGGACAATGAAGGGGAAAAAGGCCAGGATGTAGACCAGGCAGCCAACCAAAGCAGCAATGTTTGTATTGTTGAAGAAAACACTAATGAGATAGCACATGGCTATGATGGAGAAACTGTAGTCCAGAACGTACAGGAACAAGATCGTAACATTTATTTTTGGAAGGATATTCCCAAATTTGAGAATAAAAATAAGAAATATGTTAGTAAGCAGGAGAAATATGATGCATTCAATGAACCAAGCAAAGAAATGGCTGCTGGAATTTACACCCATCATCTTCATATACTATGGAAAAGAAAAAATTGAAAACTTGTTAATGAGTAAAATGCATACTCTATAGTTCAGTTATAATCCTTAAATACCAAGTCATTAAGATACATTTTATCAACTTCTCTTCAAAAACAGAAAGGTTCAATAGTAGCATGCATTATTAGTTTCACCTCTATAGCCTTGGAAATGCTAGTCAATAGGTCACATGCAAATGTCAACCCAATACAGCTCATGCTTCATGAATTGTGGATCAAATCCTTTTCCATCCCCAGTTTCTATTGTTGATTCTCAGACCAAGAGGTGCTAGAACACCTCTTATCTGCTTGTTTTACATGCCTGATCAAATATGCAGATCAATGGATAGCTCCTGGTTTACCATACGCTCTCCACACAGAGATTGTTGAAATGCATTAGTTATCATTCTGCCAATTTGGCAGAATGTCCTTTTTCCTCCACTAAATTTTAATAAACAGAGAAGTGGGAGTCTCTAGCTTGTAATGGACTATTTTAAAAACTCAGCCAAATAATTAAATAGCAAATAGTTTACCTCCTCTCTCAAAAAACAAAAAACAAAAAAAGCCAGTCCCTCATTCTAGTGGAAGCCAATCCATTGAACAAATCACACAGTTCTTTCTGAAATATGGCCAACTTAAAATCCTAGGTTGTTTTTTTTCTTCTCTATTGCAAACATTCATAAAATAATTGTTAGTTGATTGATAGTCTTAATCTGAGAAGATTTAATGGATTTCAGTGCTGCCAGTTAGTAAAAAGTACTTTGCCCTGGTTACTTAAAACACTGCCTTGTTTTATTTAAGTACAAAAAATCTAAGAACCAGCTTTTTCTCTCATGCTGTATTTATAGTGCAGAGTACTCACTCTCTTACAGAATAATCTAATTCTCTTACATTTAATACAAAATAATATAAGAAATCCTGAGAATGAAGCTTAAGGGCTGCCATAACATTACATTACATTATGAAAATGACCCTAACTGGGAAGATATTAGGTTTTGTTTTTTTTAAATCCCTACTCTAGTAGAAAATAGGGCTGCCCTTGAAGACCACTCAAAAACTACAATGTCCAAAATGCAGAAGCTCAGCAAGTTACGTATGAGAATCAATTTAACCACATAGCACAACTACTCTGAGAGCTACACTGGTTACCAGTTTGCTTTTGGGTATACAAGTAGCTCTTGAAAAATGGCAGGCCACTTAACAAATACTCAAAATTATGACAAATGGGGAGGCGTTATGACAGCAGTAGTACTTCCACAGTTATTCACTTTGTGACAGACCAGAGGATGCTGCAGAGCCCCCCCTCCCACACACACACACACCTCTCTTCCTCCCTCCATCCTGCCCATCCTGCCCCACAGCACTTAGGCTTGCTCCCCATGCCACCCAGAAGCAGTCAGTATTTTCAGGGCCTTGATAATTCCTTGCAGAAATGGTGGCTACTTTCAGAGTTTTCTGCCCCAATCAGTTGACCACCCTTGGGAGGCTGCAAAGCTTTGGGAAGCCTAGCAACAGCCAGCCTACATACAAAGGTGGAAGCTTCAGGACAACCTTCCTAATACTTTTCCCTTGCTTAACTCCTCTCCCCCCGCCCCCACCCAGAAGCCCAATTTTTTCAATAAACAAAACAAAAAAGCTGTGAGCGATAGACAACTTTCTCCCCTCCTTCCCCCTGAAGCTAACACCTTTGCATGCACACGTGGCTTCCCAAAGGCTAGCAACAGTCAGGAGAGTTTTGCAGCTGCTTGATGGCCAGCTGATCAGCAGCCGGAAAGCTCTAAAAGGTTAGGGAACTGGTTCTTCTTCTTTTGCCACCAAAAGCAGGGCACCTGGATAGGAGGGAAAGCAGGAGAAGAAACAGGAAAGGCAGGCAGGCATTCACCGTGTTTTCCTTTCCCATTGTTTCTCGCTGCCAAGACAGTCAGCTGTGTGATGGGCTGACTCTCAGGGTGAGCGGGGCCTTGGGAGGCCTGAGAAATGTGGGTCTGCACTTGGCCTCCCAGTATCTCCCCCACGTCTGAACTCCACTTAATGACCTGTGTATTCATTTAAGAAATGCACCAGGGAGAGCAGGGATGACTGGTCATTACTTGAGGCGTTAACATTTGTTGTGATTTCCAACGTCATGGGCAGGCTCCACTAGGGTCATAATTTGAGGACTATCTGTAATTCATAATGCTGACATCCCCTTTAAAACTCTTCATCGCTTACGGCTTATGTATCTTTACAATTATCTATTCCTAGTAGTTTCTGCCCATCTATTAAACCCAGAAAGAGAGGAGTTTATACAAATCCTCTTCTCTGACATAGTGACATCTGCTGGATCTGTGGAGGATAGACTTCTATGTTGCTTCCCCTGATCTCGGGAACAAGGTTCCCCCAAATATTTGATCAATGGTTATGCTCGTAAGTTGTTTTTTTTAAAGTTCTATCCATCTCTGTCTCTTTCTTAGTTCTCTGTGTCCCTGGAAGAGTGTCTTTGGAACTTGGTACTATACGTTATAGAATCATAGAATTATAAGGATGGAAGGGACCTTGAAGGTCTTCTAATCAGACCTTCCTCCCAAAGCAGACAACCTTGTATCCTTCTGGAAAAATGATTCTACAATCTCTTCTTTAAAATGTCCAGTGATAGAGCATCCACAAGGCAAGCTATTCCATTGATTAATTGTTTTGTCAGGAAATTTCTCCTTAGTTCCAGTTTATATTTCTCTTTAATGAGCTTCCACAAATTGCTTCTTGTTCTATTCTCAGGTGCTTTGAAAATAAATCTACCTCCTCTTCTCTGTGACAGCCTCTTAAGTACTGGATAACAGACAGCTGTCATGTCACCCCCAATCCATCTCCTCACTAGGCTAGACATTAACCATTCATCATAGTTTAGTTTATCCAGAACCTTTATCATTTTTGTTGCTCTTCTGTGCCTCTAGGGCTTCAGCATTTAATTATTTATTTGTTACATTGTGGTGACCAGAACTGGACTCAGTATTGCAAGCATGGATTCACTAGTGCAGTGTAGAATGGTAGTATCACTTCTCATGATCTATTGATGCTAACCCTCTGTCGATTCTAGTCTAGGATGGCATTGGCTTTTGGGGAAGTTGCAACACACTGCTGCTTATACTTAAGTGGTGATCTCAGACTTAAGTGGTAGGATGTTAACATCCCACTCACAGTTACAATAGTTGAGCCAGGTATCACCTATGCTATACATTAGCACTTGGCTTTTCCTGCCAAGTGCAGGACCTTACTGTTCTCACCATTGAACTGCATCTTTTGGATATTTTATTCCTCTTTGCAGCAAATAAATTGTACATGAATTGTTCGCTAACCATGCCTGGAGTATCTATATATTAATCCAATACATTAATCCCTATGTATTGTTTGACTGCTGTATTAATATATATTGCTCAGACTCTACTATAATTGGAACAATCTGTAAGCCAAGTAATAACTAAGGCATATCCGTCAGGTAAGATATGTGCTAAATGTGCATATCCAATATCAAAGAAGCATTGAGAGAGAAAGTCCAAGTGTACTAGTCATCAACTAGCAACACAATATTCACACATATGTGCCTCTCTGCATTTGTAGAAGACTAGCTCTGTTATCCCCATATTGAAACTCCATGAGCAGTCTAGTTAAGCAGTATGTATTTAATGTTCTCAGGACAATATCTAGCCCACAGCCATGGGAATTGCTAATAGCAATTCCCAGTGAATTTGCTTGCATTGTTTGGAGAGAAGATTGGATTTTTATTATCCTGTGAACAAGTCAAGAGGAAAATATTATGGTTGGATTCCCTTTGCATGCAGGCAATCTAATTTTGCAGGATTAATATGCAAGTAAAGTTCAGGATCTGGCAAGTATTCAAAGCTCAGCCTACCTCATAAAGTCTCAGGTCTTTTTCTTGAACAAGCTTTTTCACAAAAGATGCAATGAAAAGTATCCAAGCAGCCATTAATGTAAATGGAAGAGAGTAGGTCACACTAGTCAGAAACCTGTAAAAGCAAAGTAATTACTTAGGTAAATACAAAGTAGTTTCCCTTTGTGAATTATAATTAAGATAATTTTCAAAATACCATAAAAGCCTTTGAACAGTAAAAATGTTTTCTCTCACACAGCCTATAATTAAAAAGTGTTTGATCATTTTAAGAACAGAATATATTTTGCTGTATGCAACTTCATCCTTCTTTGACAAATATCTCATCTTTCCTCATTCTCTAATCACACTGGTACAGAGATATGAACTTTTGTACTGCAAAACATTGCACAATACAATATGTATGGCTACTTGGCATGATTCCTGATCGTTGATTTGATTTTTCTACAGCGCCGCAAAATCTTAGAAATAGCTGAAGTAATATGGTCCAGAAAAGCCAAAGACTATTGTTTTGTATTTCAATACTCCCCCTAAAATTCAATATCTAGTTATATGTTCAAAACATTGAAGTGATTAAGAAAATAATGGAATGTGCAGAAATCAACAGATTAACATTAGCAATTAGAGAGCAAGAAGAAAAAGAATATTATAAAATATGGGATTTATTCTGTCAATGGCTAAATAGAAAAGTAGGAAATTAAAGTATAATATAATAATAATAATATGCTGATTATCTTTGAATGAAATATAATACAAATAAAAATTAGTAAGAATTGGGATGTGCTCTAAAGGAAAATATGAAATTGAAATTAAAGTCTAATGATTATATAGTAACAATATAATATCATACGGAAAGTTAATTAGTGGAATATGAATGTAAATTTAAGAGGAAAAGACTATAGATATTGTGCACAAGACATATGTACCAACCGACACACTATACAATTGAAGTTTTAGTTTTATTTGTTGTTTTATGTATTATGTTTTGTGTTTATGTTTGTTGTTAAAAATAAAAAACTTCATAGATATATAAAAAACATCAGCATATTAATGCTCACATAGCACTTTACAACTTTGCATTTCATTAAAGATTCTGTCAGATCCATGTATCTGTCATTTCTTCAGTGGAAGAAGAAAAGGGGGAGGAGACTGATAAAGAAATCCTTTCTTGATGTAACTTGAATACATTCAATCTTATATTGAATTTTTATAACCCACACATGATACAATGGAGAGAGGAATCCCAGATGGCTGGAACCTAATACCTCTGAGTGGCACAGCCAGGAGATGAGAAGACCATAAAAATTCCAGTGAGATGTTTGCTTGGGAAACTGTGAAAAAGATCGTTCCTTTAGAAGGGGTGGGGGTGGAATAAACATACTGGCTTTTGTTTCACAAAATACACATTGAGAGAAGGGGAGGGTTTCTAAACTCCCTTATCTATCCCAGTATGCCTGAGAGACATTAGAAGCTGCTTTTAACCCCTACAGGAATTGTCTCATCTCAATAAAGGATTCCTTTTTGATACGTTTCCAGAAGTTCATTCTAGTTGATTGAATGGGAAAAGTTCTGTAGCCTGACATAAAGCAGCGTCTGCAATAGAGGTCAGCTCAAAGAGGATTTTTCTTTTTTAGAAAAAACCTTCACTCTACCAAGGAGATCCTGCAAGAAAGGAAAATGTCTGAGTACAGCAAGGACCAAGGGGAAGCCAAATGCTGGAGAGAAATGTCGACAGTTACCCAGCCAGATACTGACTCGGTGCACCCCATCGAAGATAGCAAAGCTGCCTACAAGACCTTCACAAAGCCCCAGTGGTCTATAGGCGTAGGAAAGAGAGAAAGCTGGAACAGAAGAACCAGGGGAGTAACCCTCACCTGGGACTATTGTAAACCCAGGAGGCCCTATCGGAAGAATGGGACAAGGAGCTACCAGCCGACGACTGACTGAGACAGTACATAAATCACCTCGTGAGGGAAGCCCTGGAGAACCTCAAGGTAAGGGATGCACCAGGACGCCAACACAGGAGAGCGAGGGAACCAAAAAATGAAAGAACCCGAGCCGCCACCCCGGATTCAGCTGAGAATGATCAGGCAGTGGGACAAGCTGAAGAACCAGCAACCATACCAGGTACCTGACCCCTAAATGCCCCAGAACAGGGGATTAACCCTGGCCAACCCAGAGACATACAACTGCAGAGGAAGGTCCCACCCCTGGGAGTAAAATTTGATGGGGACCCCCAGAAACTGGGATTTTTCCTGATGCAAGTCTTCACATCTGGTTGCTTTAAGTGTGGAAAGGAGGGACACTGCACAGCAGAATGCTGTTCGAAAACCTCTGTCAGAAAGCCAGACCATCCATCAGGGGGGAAACCTGGAACATCCAGCCCTCGAGGAAAGGAGACTGGCCTGAGGAGCCAACTAGCTGTGGGATTCCGATCCCCCAACCCAGAGGAAGAGCCCCCAATGCTCTGAGGAGACCTGAGCCCAAAAGTGATCCAAAAGATGACCCACTAGTAAGCAACCCAATTGAACCAATCACTCTACCCCTAAGACTGTTTATCCCCAGCCAAGGGAAGGGGGAGGAAGTTGGAGCATTGCTGGGTTCGGGATGCACCCGATGCCTAAAAATCCCTCCCTTGCAGAGAAATTGGGGATCCAACTGAAAGAAATGGGAAATCCCATCGCTTTCTGCCAATTAGATGGAACTATAGCGGGGGGAACCAGCCAGGTTTACCACAGAACCATTGAAAATAAGATTAGGGAACCATAGCAAGATGCTCACATTCATTGTAGCCCCCAGGAATGGAAGAGCCGCTAGTCCTAGGTCTCACATGGCTGCGGAAATGGAATAAAAAAATAAATTGGAGGAGAGGAACCATACAATTCCAGAGAGACGTAGTATTTGCAAATAGCTCAGAGGAAAGGATAAACAAAGGAAGAGTCAGTCATGACCGGACAGTCAGCTGAACCCATTAACATCCCCAATGAGTACCAGGATCTGGCCCAAGTATTTAGCGAGGAAGCTTGTGGTGAATTCCCACCCCATCACGCCACAGACTGCGCTATCAAAATCCTACCAGGGGCTAAATTCCCAAAACCACAAATGTACTGCATGTCTCCCACAGAACTAAAAGAACTCAGAGCATTGATTGACAAATATTTAAAAAGGGGTTTCATCGAACCCGCCTGACCAAAAATAGGTGCTCCAGTGTTATTCCACGAAAAGAAAGATGGCTCAGTACGTTTGTATGTACATAACAAAAAATTAAACACGATTTGCATAGAGAATATGTATCCATTCCCCCTCATGAAGGATACGTTAGCCCACCTCTCAAAAGGAAAAAAATGTTAGACCTACGAGAGGCATATTATTGCATAAGAATAAAGGAAGGGGATGAGTGGAGGACAGCTTTTAACACATCATTGGGATGCAACCAATTTAAAGTGCTCCCCTTTGGACTGCAAGGAGCGCCTGCCATGTTTATGCAATTGATCAATGAAACCCTTCATGATTTTTTCTATAAAGGGGTTCTAGTGTATCTTGATGATATTTTAATCTACACGGAAACGATGGAAGAACACATCAAGCTACTCTGTGCAGTCCTCACAAAACTCTTAGACACTATATGCAAAACTCTCTAAATGCGAATTCCACCAAGAAAAAATTGACTATTTGGGTATAGAATATCCCACGAGGGAATAGAGATGGACCCACAGAAAGTAAAAGCTGTATCGGACTGGGACCCACTGCACACCCACAAACAACTGCAAAGCTTCTTGGGGTTTGCAAACTTTTATCGCCAATTCATTCCAGCTTTTGCAAACATCGCCCTCCCTATTACAAACTTGCTAAAAATGAAGGGGGGGGGGGAGAAACCCAAACCAAGGCAACCCCTTATCTGGACAATGAAGTGCCATACGGCATTCGAGAAACTCAAACATCTATTCTCAGCAGAACTGGTCCTTAAGCACCAAGATCCCAAACAACCTTTTGTCATCCAAGCAGACGCTACTGATGTTGCAGATGGAGCAGTCCTCCTCCAAAAGAATGGAAGTGGACAATTGCAACCATGTGCTTATACATCCAAGAAACTGACAGAAACCGAGCAAAGATGGGCCATATGGGAGAAAGAGGTATATGCTGTGCGGTGGGCAATGATTACATGGAGACATTTCCTGGAAGGAAACCAAATCCCCTTTGAAGTATGGACTAATCACAAAAATCTGGAAGCCTTGAGAAATCCACGGAAACTCTGAAAAACAAGCAAGGTGGGCTCAATATTTTGAATGATTTAATTTCACTCTCAAATATTTTCCTGGGAGAAAGAACTTCTTAGCAGATGCACTGTCCAGAAAACCCCAATACAACAGCAAAAAGATTGAGGTTATAAAACCGATGATCCAACCGACATAACTAGTAGACAAAGTAGTCACCCGGGCACAAGAGAGAAAAAAAATCATCCCTGACTGAAGACACAACGACGTCAATATTTAAAGAGGCACTACTCAAGGACGACTGGCTCCAGGCTAACAAAAACACTTGTTTACTCAAAGATGGACTGGCTTGGGTAGAAAACAAACTTTATGTCCCTGCAAGCCAGAGAATAGACCTCATGAAATGCTGCCATGACTCCAAAATAGCGGGACACTTTGGGTTTGTAAAAACCCTGCACCTCATCAAAAGACAATTTTGGTGGCTGTCCCTCAAAAAGGACATTGAAAACTATGTTGCGAGCTGCCCCACCTGTGCAGTTGCAAAGAGAAGACAAGGAAAATATCCTGGACTTTTACAAACAGTAGCAGACCCTTCTGCACCTTTCTGCATCTCTATGGACTTTATAGTGGAGCTTCCCGAAAGTGCTGGGAATACTGTCATTTGGATTGTAACTGATCCTTTTTCCAAACAGGTTCACTTTATTCCATGCCAAAAGATCCCAACTGCTAAGGCATTGGCAAAGATATTCCTAATACACATCTCCAGCGGATTATCTCAGATAGGGGTGTTCAGTTCACATCCAAATTTTGGCGGGCATTTTTAAACCTATTAGGCTCCACCCAGGGGTTGTTGTCATCAAGTCACCTCCAAACTGACAGATCAACAGAGAGAGTGAACAGCCTATTAGAACAATATTTAAGATGCTTTATTAATTACCAACAGGACAATTGGACTGACCTTCCTTTTTCAGAGGTAGCATACAATAACTCAGTCCATAGTAGCACGGGGTTCACCCCATTCCAAGTAGCCACAGGCCAAGAATTTAACCCCATGCCGGAACTACCCACCAAAGAACCTGAAATCCCTTCCCTTAAGGAGTGGATGGATAACTTACAAGCCATGTAAATTACATGTAAATTGTCTTTACAGGAAGCTAGAACAGTCGTCAAAGCTCAAGCAGACAAAAAACGCTGTGACCCTAAATCTTTCAAGATTGGGGACCAGGTAAATTTGTCCACAAAATTCTTAAAATCATTACAACCCTCTAAGAAATTAGGACTAAAATTTATTGGCCCATTTCCAATCTCCAGAATTATTAACCCCATGATGGTAGAGCTTTGACTTCCAAAAACACTTGGGCAGATTCATCTAGTATTTCACTGTAGCTTGCTCAAACCGGAGATCACTTCAAACCTCAGACCCCCCCACCTTCCCACACCTTCAACCCCCATCATGGTACATGGGGAACAACATTTTGAAATTAAAGATATCCTTGATTCACACACTCACAGTGGATCCACACAATATTTAGTAGCTTGGAAACATCTTCCTTCCTCAGAAAATGAGGGGTAGCCAAACGACATGTAAAAGCACCCACATTACTATGAAAGTTCCACCTAAAATACTCTGATAAACCATTCTGAATTGTTCATGTAATGCATGATTTTTGTTTTTTCCAGGTAGACCTATCTGTTTTTTAAGGAGGGCAGGATGTCAGATCCATGTATCTGTCATTTCTTCAGTGGAAGAAGAAAAGGGCGGGGGAGACTGATAAAGAGATCCTTTCTTGATGTAACTTGAATACATTCAATCTTATATCGAATTTGTATAACCCACACATGATACAATGGAGAGAGGAATCCCAGATGGCCGGAACCTAACACCTCTGAGCGGCACAGCCAGGAGATGAGAAGACCATAAAAATTCCAGTGAGATGTTTGCTTGGGAAACTGTGAAAAAGATTGTTCCTTTAGAAGGGGTGGGGGTGGAATAAACATACTGGTTTTTGTTTCACAAAATACACATTGAGAGAAAGGGGCGGGGTCTAAACTCCCTTATCTATCCCTGTATGCCTGAGAGACATTAGACGCTGTTTTTAACCCCTACGTGAATTGTCTCATCTCAATAAAGGATTACTTTTTTATATGTTTTGATATGTTTCCAGAAGTTCATTCTAGTTGATTGAATGGGAAAAGTTCTGTAGCCTGACAGATTCCAGAGCAGTGCACAATGAAATCATCAAGCTACAATGATATAATATAGTAATATACAGTAAATTCAATCAAGAAAAAACATTAAATCTAGGTCAAATCAATGATTATTACATATAGCTGGCACTGATGGAATGATGGAAATAACCAGATAAAATTCTTTCATTTTTAGCTGAATCACTTCACCTTGTAATATTTTTCATCATAACGGAGAGTTCATTCCATATGCTGGGTTTTTGAAACAACACATGTTCTCATATACTTATATAAAGCATCCTATGCAGAACATAATGATTTAATAGATCTCAAATGAAAGACAAGTGAGGAGGCATATGATAACACTCTGCAAATAAAGAAGTCCCTCACAAAAAATGCTATATCCTGCTCTCTATCATCACAAACTGCAGGGCATGGAATAGTGGGTTTAAATTAGAAAAAGGCAGAAAAAAAATAAAAGTAAAGATTAATTTTAACAGTAGAGACAATTATTAAACAGGTGATGAGCTGTATTCAATCAAGCAGAAGCTAGATGAACATCTGTCAAAAATTCATGCAACTAACCATGAGGTCACATTCATAGGCCTAAACACACTGGAGAGTAAAAATAATTCATCATAATCGCTGTTAATGAAACATAAAAAACTTTATCCCAACTCTCATTTGATACTTTCTTATGCACTATTGCACATCACTGTTCGGAAATCTCGCTTATTCATAATTTGCAAGTTCAGCTGTAATAGAGTTTTGATTAAAAAAACCAAATCAACATGTATACTGTTACTGGAATCTCATACAATTAATAAGTTTTAGCTACTTTCCCCCACTAACTTATTAAATATCCTGCCAATTCTCATGACTTACATGTCTTTATTATAACAAGGATATGGTGTAGCCTGAACTTGGACAGCTATGTCTTCTGCACTTTTCCCAGTCTGTAGTTCAATTATTGCTCTATCAATGCTATCTTGGATGTAGACAAATGCTCGACTGTAGATTTGGCTTTGCGAGGCTGAATTATGTGGTCCCCCTGTCCAAACTTTTTCTCGTATTCTTTTCGTTGTTTGGGAAATTTTGCTGCTCATTCGGATGGTATAATTGACTAATGGTGGAAGGGAAAGTCCACTAGGTGTTACGTGTTTTCTTGTCTCATTTGAAGGTAATTTGAAAATGACACCTTTAAAAAAGGAAGAGAAAGATTTGCAATTACCAAATAACTACCAGTAGTATATGATAAAATGCATGTTTATATCTGAGCCCAACAAAGGCTGCACCTACCTTGATGATTCATCAGTTGGGAAAATAATAAAATAAAAATGAATGTCAGTTATATTGGTGTAATTTACACCTGACTTCTGTAATTACTGCTAAGGTTTCATTCAATCCAATTCCTTTACATGATCTTATGAAACAGAAGTATTTCCAGAGGACTGCAGTGAAATGCTATAGTCTGCTGGTTTATGCCCATATGCATTCCAGGATAGTTTATTTATTGATAAAATAATTTAATTTGTTGAAAATGAAAAACATGTCACATGTGCATTAGTTTGATCATATGAATACTTTGAAATTATGGGCATGGCAGTTTAGCTCAAAATAATATGTCTAATCTTGATATTTCTTAAAAGTTCCAGTGGGAAAAAATCCATATAACTTTACTTACTTGCAAAAAGTTCATTTCTCAGAAACAGATCTTTTGCCATCATCTCCATTTCCTCTACAGTTTTGCCTGGCTGAATGCGATCAAGCAGCACACATGAAGAAATATTTACTGATAGTCTTGCTAAAATAATAAGTTGATTTATTATATCAGTGCTATTCTGTAGTTCCAAACGTATATCATCTGAAATAAAAGAAATCAAACAAGAAAACTTTAATCTTCAAATTATCATGTCTTACCGACTTAAAAAATTCACAAAAGCCCCCAAATTATCACAAATTAGTTTAATAAATTTAGTTATGAAATTTCTAAAGCTTTAAACACTCTTTGGCGATAGACTTGTTCTCATAGGATGTTATTACTATTAATAATAAGAAATGATATGTAAGGTGGCTGCAGATGTGATCTGTCTCAGATTGTAGATAAGGAATTTTCTGTAGATGTTCATCCCATCCTTTCTACCAATATGCATTTTTTTTTCTTCACTCTGGTTTCTACAGATATGTATTCAATATATATACATGTATATTTATAAGAGCCTTGGTGGTGCAGTGGTTAGAGTGCAGTAATTGCAGGCTACTTCTGCTTACAAGTCAGCTGCCTGCAATTTGGCAGATCGAATCTCACTAGGCTCAGGGTTGACTCAGCCTTTCATCCTTCCGAGGTGGATAAAATGAGGACCCAAATTGTTGGGGGCAATATGCTGATTCTGTAAACTGCTCAGAAAGGGCTGTGAAGCACTATAAAGTGGTATATAAGTCTAAGTCAGAGGTAGTATTCAGCAGGTTCTGACCAGTTCTGGAGAACCGGTAGTGGAAATTTTGAGTAATTCGGAGAACCGGCAAATACCACCTCTGACGGGAGATTTTACAGTATCCTTCCCTGCCAAGCCTACCAAGCCACACCCATAGAACCAGTAGTAAAAAAATTTGAATCCCACCACTGGTCTAAGTGCTATTGCTATTGCTATATACACACTCACACAAACACACACATAAATATACACTGCATATATGCAGATACTAATATAGCAGGTGTAGTTTTGTTCAGAACTACTTTACTGCAAAATAAGGAGTTGCAGGCCAAGATTTATAAGAAAGGTTTTTTGCCACAATAGTTGGTTGTCCTCTAAAATGGGATGTAGCTTGTAGTTCATTTTTAATTTATATGATAGAATAATGCAATTAAACCATTCCCAGAATTCTGTGCAATACAGTGACTGTTAAACTATTCCTGTTAAACAAATCTTGAACAATTTTCTGGAATAGAGTGCTAGTGAAACTAATCAAAGCCTCTTTTTCACACATTGGTATACTGGCCACATGTCCTTTATTATAAAGGGCAGTCCTTTATTCAAAAAACAAGATTTATTTATTTTATTTTTCATTTTGGTCATTTAACTTTTATCATACAAATGGAAACGTTTCACATTCATGTGAAAAATGTGTAAATTATTTTTTAAAATTTATTTACATACTGTATATTGTACTGCTTGATTTAAGACATTTTATTAGAATATATGTTTTTGTTAAGTTTCTTGGTTTTGCTCTTGAATTTTCCTTTCTAAATTTAAGTTATAAACAATTTTTTTAATCCTTGTGAACCCTTTTCAGATGTGCTCCTTTTCCGGTTTCTCTTTTATTTTTTTCAAAAAAAATATGATCACCATAGACATACTGTAGGTCTACCTAAAGAACAGCCTTCATTATCTAAATACTATGTGTCACAGAGAACAGTGGTGAAAAATTACCTTGCAATAATCCCTCAGGCAGAGGGTTCAAAGGGATGGCAATATGTTGTAAGCTTCTCCAGAGACAGCCTGCTGGGTTCTCTTTGTAAGGAGAGGGTTATTTAATATGGGGGGCAATTGAAGGAATACTTTTCCTTGTAGATGAATGCCAAATGTCCACTTATGTAAAAATAATAAACACATAATCAAGGGCTAAAAGTACCCTCTGCTTCTGGTTATCTCTGTTTCTAGGCAGGAACAAGTCTGACCTATTCTGCAATTGAAGTTTAGTCACAAGGCACTATAGAAGAACATTGGAGTTGTGTTGCAATAGTGCCCATTACAAAACAACAATGAAACTAAGATTGAGTATTGGCTGATAAGGTATATGGCCCTCACTGTCCACCCAAACTCCAAGTAGGAAAAACACAAGAAAATTGGACTCCTAGTATATGAAGTCAAATATAATTTACCAGATATAATGGAGACCAGGTGGGCTGGATCATGTGACTGGCATACACAAAAGATATAATTTGTTCAAAAGAAACAGAACAGAATGGGAGAAAAGGTTGTAGATAATCCATTCCTACTCAGATATTGGAATAAATGGAGTTGGTAAGAGTGGAAGAATTTGGGATTATTTTTTAAAAAAAAACTGCAAATTTTTAAAGACCTTGATACTTACTGGGAAATAAATTCTGCCCATGTTCCTTCCAATTAATTTTTACTTGCACTATTGACTCCAAACCATTAGCTTGACCATTGATTTTATATTAACCAAAATAGAAAACTGAGAGGAGCAGGTACATTGGGAGAAAGTGGTAGTATAGATTTAAAATTATAGGAAAAGAAAGAAATTCGTATGCTGTTCAGCGAATAGGGCAAAATAAGGGATTGCTTAATGTCTGTTTTCTACTTTATTCAACTAGAGTATATGCATTAATAGATGATAATATTTGTAGCCAAAGGTTGAACTGTGGGGTCCTTGATGCTAGCTGAGTGTGGCTGTTTTCTTGCAGATGTCATTACCTAACATTACCTAATGTCATCAGTGCATAATGCATATGCATTCCATAGAATTGTGAATATTTATTTATTTTTAATTAGATAATTTCCTTATTAAAGCATGGGTATATTGTAGATATATTATGATTTCAGTAGAAATTTGAAAACCATTACATAACATTTGTATTAAGTATATATAGGCTGATTGACATTAAAGTTAAAAAGGTAGGTACAGGGGTGGGATTCTACCGGTTCTATCCGGTTCTATAGAACCCCTTGTTAACTTTCTAAGCAGTTCGGAGAACCAGTAGTTAGAAGCAATCTCCTTTTGTTTTTTTCCACCCTTATTACATTCTTGGCAGACAGCCTAGACTTACTGTCTCCGGAGCTTCGGGGGCTTGGCTTGCTTAAAGGGGAAGGGTTGTTTTAAGATTTTAACACTGCTGTTGGGAGGAAATATTTCCCTGGACAATCAGCACTTTGAAGAAATCATTGAATAATGAAGCAAAGCTTTTAGTGACAGGGAACCAAGATGAGTGACATTCAGCAAGGTTTCTTGGCTAGCTAGAAAGACTGACATTCAAATGTGAGTTTACATACTCTTTCTGGGTTTTGGTCTAAAACTGTTTTTTGGTGAAAGTTAATTCTATGCTTGGTGAAGTTTAATCCTGTGTTTATTGACGGGATAATTTTCCCTATTCAGCTTCAACAAGCGACAGCTACTGTTGTGGTTTATCTGTATTGTGTTTGAATTTGTTCCTGCCTCATAGTTTCTTTTTCTATCTGGGGAGGGGGGGTCTTCCTTCACTGCTTTAATACTATCTGGCACTGTCCTTTTGGGGTATACTTCCAAGAGGCAGGATGCAAGCTTGGCACTGATTTTTTTTACTGCCTTTCTGGGGGGCATGTGACCTTTCCTTAAACAGTTCATTTAGTGACCATTCAAAGTTACAATGGCACTGAAAAAAGTGACTTATGACCATTTTTCACACTTACAACTGTTGTAGCATCCCCACAGTCATAAGAGGCCAGGCAAGGAGATGCGTGCCTCGATGTGAGTGATGTTGAGTTGGCCACACCCAGCCAGTCACATGACCACCAAGCCACTCCCACCAACTAAGCCACCCCAATAGAACCGGTTGTTAAAAAAAACCTGAATCCCACCCCTGAATAGATAGCATTAAAAAAGAAAGAGAAAGCCACTTTGTGTAGTGCTTAAGATATCAGAAGAGCAGGAGACAGTGCGTTCTAGTCCTGCCTTAGGCACAAAGCCATCTGAGTGACCTTGGACCAGTCATATTCTTTTAGCCATAGGAAGGAGGCAATGGCAAAGCACTTCTGAAAAACCTTGCTAAGAAAACTGCAGGGACAAGCTCAGGCAGTTGCCAGAAGACAGTGTTGACTCAAAGATTAGATTAGACTAAATTTCATAATTCCTCATCAAATCAGAGAGTATATTGTCTGAGGTTCATGGGATATAGTCTTCTTCAACATCATGAATAGGATGAGGAACATTTTGGAAAAAATGATAAGCATTCTCTCCATCTCCTCATGGGAACTTCAATATTCTAGAAGATTGAGATACTGTTTCAAAAAATTGGTTACAAAAAATGACTGAAATAACAGAATGAAATTTAATGGAGAGAAGCTCAGTGCTTAGAATCCCCAGATTAGTCATTTAAGAAAAACCCCTCTGCTCATTTGTCCTAAATTTATTTTCAATCTTTCAAGTTTTATGAATAATACATCTTATATGCTCACACTCCTCATGTTCTTATTTTTTTCACTTTCATAATATGCTACAACGCCATCACTAGTCAGTCAAGAACCTATATTGTACCTTATTAGTAAAATGAAGAACTCACCCAGTTCATTAATTTGGTTTAACAATTCAACAGCATCCAGCTTTACCATGAGTTTGATGAAAACCTGTACAAAAGGATTCTGCAATGTGTTCTGCCAAATGACATAATGAGTATTTAATATTCAACTTCAAATACATTAAGCTATTTTTAAAAATTGTGATTGAAATTATTCCCCTCAAATAAATTGTGATTGAAATTATTCCCCTCAAATTAAAAAAATGACATTTCCCAATAAAGCATCCTTTCAATCTGAGAATCAGGGACCAAACTTTAAGAATTAAAATTATAGTTGTCTGTAGAGTCAGCCAGATGTTTAGGTGAGAGGCACTTGTTAAATGAGGACTGCCTGTATTTCTGACACAAAATTTCCTCATAAGATTTGTTTCACTATACAGTTAGTTATGCAGGTGTTAATAACAGCGGAATCAGGTGCACTCACATAAATAAGACTCTCTGCATAAATTAGTTTTTAATTATGTGCAAATATGATATATGGAATGAGATATTTTATGATATCTAATATCTATCTAAACCAGGGTGAAGTCCACAGAAATGCTACCATGAAAAAGTTATAAAAATAATTTATTTCAAAAACAAGAAGGAAATCACTTTCCTAATACAAATGAAGAGCTCTGTTCCTAATAGCTTCATAAGCAATAGTTCTTAATGAACTTTTCTAAGAGACATGTTTGGAACAAAAACATTAGTATGATTTCATTCAGCCATAAAAATGACACTTCTCACAATCCTAAAACATAAAAGAAGATTATCTATTAGCCTTATTATATTGAATGTGCTTTATTGATTTTCGGGAATTTCATCCGCTGCTTTTTTATGAACAAAGATAGCAAGATCAATTGCAAATTAATTGTAAATATGATGAGGAACTCCCCCACCCCCAAAAAAGAAACCATAGCTATATTTTTGGGATTAAACACTGATTTATATATTTTTTAAAAATTCTGAACTTTACATTTTGAATTCAGATATATTGTGATTTATAATACACAAATTATCCAATTCTCTTATTTCTCATATCATAGTGCTGTTTCTGTAGTTCAGCAAAAGGTTTGTAATTTATGGAGGAAATTGCACTTTAGACTGCACTCTGGTTGTCCAATTTTAAAATTTTCAGTGTTGAGTGGGTTTAAGTGCAAGGTTTGTTCTTAACCTGTCCTGGAATGTTCTGTAATTATCCCTTTCCTCCCTTCCTTCTTATGATCCTTTCCCTCTTTGCCTTCTTGTGGTCTTAATTTATCTCTGACTTTGCATGTTCCATACTTGCTATTGTCTACTCGCCTTTGGGGTTTTTTTTGCCTTGTGTCCTGTGTTGTCTATCCCCTCTTCCTACTTGCTTTTCTCCTGCCACTACCGAGTAGTCAGCTCTCCCTGCTTTTCTCAGTTCATGGCATTCCCCCCCACCCTTGTCTGTTGCTCTGCCACGCTGTTCTGTTGCCATTTTCAGTCACTGGTCCACTGTGCTGCAACGCTCCACCACCACCGACAGCCTCCAGTCCCACTGATGCTCTACCATCACTTTCCACACTGCTCTCTGTGATGCTGTCAGGATATGCTTCGCTGTGTTGCCCTTTGCTGCTGGCTCTCCTTTATTTTGTGCTGCCTCTGCTCTTTGCTCCTCAGCCACGTGGCTCCTGTTTGTGCTGCTTCTCCCAGCAAACAGGACTGTCTGGATGGCCTACAATAAGTTCGCCTCTTGTCTTCTCTCCACAGCCAGCTCTCCTTTTGCCCTCAGTTAGCTCACCTCTCTGCCACATGGATGCTCCACAGCTAGCCCCACTCGCTCACTGGCTCACCTCCTTGTTCTTCGCTAGTTTGTTTTGCCTCTCCACTCATGTCACTTCAATGGATCTCGGGGCTCTTGGGTAGGCCTCTCGGGGGCAGCTGGGCTTCTCTCAGCAGGCCAAGGTTGCTGTGAGTTGCTGTCCTTGGTGGCATTTTCCTCCTAGAAAGATTGTTCTTTCTTCTCCTTTTCCATTTGCCACTTTTTTTTCTTTTTCTATGATTTATCTTTCCCTCTCCACCTCTCCTCTTATAGTTTAAATCTTAATTTAATAGCAACTTTTCTCCCTGTGATGTAACTATGCTTCCTCCGTTGCCGCCCTTCGCTTGGAAAAATTCCCACCTTCCCTACGCAAAGTATTGCCCCAACCAAAAAAAACCAGTGCAACATCTTAGTCATCATTCTGTTGATACCCTGGATCTGGGGCAGGGTATTTATTTTGATAATTATGCAATAGGATCTCAGTAATGCATCATCTTAGATTCCAAATTTGTTTCTTTTGCTTAATCACCCTGCACCTTCCTCCATCTATCTTTCTATCTAGCTGTATACATATAATACACACACAATTGTAAAAATAAAAGCTCATTTGTTTACTATAAGTTATTTTTGGCTCATTTTCACCCATGAGTGTAATACTGGAAGTAAAGATAATATTCTCTGTTATCTACAATTATTATTATGAAAAGTTTTCACATTTAGATACCTGGACAATAATGGTTTCTCTCTGTCTGAAGAGATAATTATTTTCATGTACCTCAATGTTTCAGCATATAATTTACTGTAGTTTCTGGATATGATCTGCATACTTGAATATGTAGAATAATTATTAAACCAAATTATTGTTATAAAAAAGAGAGTAACAAGTTGGATAGTCAATATATGAAATGATGTTTCATACCTTCAACATTGGAAGAGTGTCATTTAATATAGTTAGTGAATCCATGAGCAATGGTGAACGGTCCAACCACTCCTGGGCTTTTTGTGTTAAATCAGCCATCAGTTTCAATGTTGAATTGGACTTAAAGAATTGGAACAAATAAATTAAACATTAATCTATTCTGTAGACAGGCAAAGAAATGATTTTAAAGATTAATGTTTTTAGCACAAAGTTGGCTTTCATGCTTTCATAAAAGCAAGGAATATAGCTAATCAGGTAACAATAAAGGTGCTAGTATAAATGTTCAGAATTTGAAATTTACAAAATTTAGTTTATTCCCCATTTAAGTTCCTATCTCAATTTATCTATCTATCTTAATTTAAAAGGAATATCTGAGTTGCTGCTTTTGTAAACCCCACCAAATTACATATTCTAGAAACTTACTAATAGATTTTTTTCATGAATCAAGTCTTCAAATTCAGTTTCTGCTGATTTATCAAGAATATTTTAATAATCCCCTTCATGGATTACTGTCTTGTCGTGGCAAAGGGGCTTTCGTAACTCAATGAAGCTATGAGCTATGCCGTGCAGGGCCACCCAAGACAGACAGGTCACAGCAGAGAGTTCTGGCAAAACGTGATCCACTGGAGAAGGAAATGGCAACCCATTCCAGTATCTTTGCCATGAAAACCTCATGGACAGTACCAAAAGGCCAAATGATATGATGCTGGAAGATGCACCCCTGAAGTTAGAAGGTGTCCAATATGCTACTTGGGAAGAGAAAAGGGCTAGTATTAGTCACGCCAGAAAGAATGAAGCAACTGGTTCAAAGCCAAAAGGACATTCAGCTATGGATGTATCTAGTGGTGAAAGGAAAGTCCGAAGCTGTAAAGATCTATACTCCATAGGAACCTGGAATGAAAGATCTATGAATCAAGGGAAGCTGGACGTGGTCAGACAAGAGATGACAAGACTGAACATCGACATCTTAGGAATCAGCGAACTAAAGTGGACAGGAATGGGTGAATTTAATTCAGATGACCAGGTATACTACTGCAGGCAAGAATTCCTCAGAAGAAATGGAGTAGCCTTCATAGTCAATAAAAAGTAGGAAAAGCAATACTGGGATACAATCCCCAAAATGACAGAATGATCTCAGTTCGAACCCAAGGCAAACCATTCAACATCACAGTAGTCCAAATCTATGCCCCAACCATTGGTGCTGAAGAGGCTGAAGTTGACTGGTTCTATAAAGCCCTACAACACCTTCTAAAATTAACACCAAAAAATTATTTCCTTATCATCATGGGGGATTGGAATGCTAAAGTAGGAAGCCAAAAGATAACCAGAATAACAGGGAAATAAAGATTGAGTTAAATATGAAAGATGTAGCTAAGGACCCAAGGGAGGAGTATGGGAGGAAAGCTAAAAAGAGAAGAAGTGGAGCTTGTAAGAGAATGAGAAATGATGGATAGGAGGGATTAAAAAAAAAGAAAGAAAGAAAAAAATGAGATTGGTCTAAAACTAGAATAGATGGAAAATTTAGAAATAGGGAGAATACTGTTATACGTGCTTTACTTAATACAATACTTAAAGAGAATATTAGAGGTCAAAATTAGAATTTGAAAAAGGGTGTTATTAGGTATGCTCAGAAATAATGCTATTACTATTAAAAGGATGTAGCAAATATTGAATAATTGAAAAATGAAGGCTCATGTGCTAATATAGTTATGTATAACAACATAAGATTAATGTAGCAATTCTTAAGTGTGGCTGTATTACAAATTAGAACAGACAAAAAATTTAGAAATGGGGGAATACCTTTATACATATCTTAATAAAACTAAACTGAATATTAGAGGTCAAAATCAGAGTTTGAAAAATGATGTTATTAGGTATGCTCAAAGAAAATGCTATTACTATTAAAAGGATGTAGCAAATATTTATAATTGAAAATGATGGATTGTGTTTTGATATAGTTATGTATAACATTAGATTACGTAAATTGGATTAATTTAGAAATGCTTATTGTATTATCATTGCTTTTGTATCAAAATGATTAACACTCAGACACCACACTGTCCATGAAATGATATTAATGTATGTTTTAAAAAATAAAAAAAAACAGTCCTAGAGGAGATCAATCCTGGCTGCTCTTTAGAAAGCCAGATCCTGAAGATGAAACTCAAATACTTTGGCCACCTAATGAGAAGGAAGAACTCACAGGAGAAGAGCCTAATGCCAGGAATGATTGAGGACAATAGAAGAAGGGGCTGGCAGAGAATGAGGTGGCTGGATGGAGTCACTGAAGCAGTCGGCATGAACTTCAATGGACTCCAGGGGATGGTAGAGGAAAGAAGACCTGGAGAAACGTTGTCCATGGGGTCGTGATGGATTGGACCAGTGGTGGGATTCACAAGTTCCACCACCGGTTCTATGGGCATGGCTTGGTGGGTATGGCTGCAGGGGTGGGATTGCGCAACGTGCAATCATGTGCTTTATGCATGCATCAAGGCAGTAAAAATTAAGCTACTGCGCCTCTCAGCTGTTTAGCACAGCAATCCACTCTGCTGTGCCAAACAGCTGAAAGGTTCAAAAGGACCTAGGAGCAGGAGCGCGTGGGTGGGCCCAACTGCAGAGTGTAGGAGAGTCTAGGAGTGAACCAGTTCTCTGCCAGTTGATCTTCAGTGCTACCGGTACGCCAAAACCAGGCCGAACCAGTAGAATACCACCACTGGATTGGACATGACTTCATAACCAAGAACAACAACAACAATTCTAATAATAGTGAATTGTTATTTTTAAAAAAATATGTCATTACCTTTTCCATGATCGCACGTGTTTCAGGAGTATCTGGAGAATACAGAATCCGTCCACGCACCATTGGCTTTAAGAAAGACCAAATTAAAGCTCCAGAAGGTGTCTTAACCAAGTCCAGAAACAATGATATGCAGAAAGGTGCTACAGAAGAGACAAGAAAAATATTGGACCAACCAAATGAAGCACAGCAAATTCAGTCAAATATGTTGGTCTGTTAGAATCCTGATGGATCCTCTCATAACCTTTTGATCACATACTAAGGTAATACTTTTGACAAAACTACCCTCCCCAAAGATTTCCATTTGCTTAACTAGACCAGAAAGACTTATGTTTAAGAAAAGTCTTAAGATAAACTTGGAAGGATTACCTGCCAGTACATTGCCAGTTGTCCTTGTATCTATAGAGGATTTTGCTATGCCAAAGACTGCTCTCACAGTCATGCAAAACTATCACAATGAGTGAGACTATTAGCCCATCAGATAGGCCAGTGTCTGACAGCAAAGCTCTCTATGGCGGCAGTGATAGATTTAATTCTGCTTCCTACTTGAAGCCCTTTTCCATTCCACTTGAGATATCCAAGTAGGAGTAAGCCACAAAACAAGGGCTATTTTTTTATTTCAGTGTTCTGAGTGAAGTCTTGTCCACATTTCTTTAAAGCACAATTTCAATATTGAATATGAAGTTAGAATAAGATTTGAACTGAGATTTGTCATCCCACATTGTAGGAGTTTAAAAAATGGTACGGTGTTAAAAAGTTTTTGTAAGTTAATTATACTGAACAAAAGGATCCCCTGGTGTCTTTGCTGTACAGGCAGTCCTCGACTTACAACAGTTCTGTCAGAGTATATTCATGAACTGGAAATAGAGCTTGGTAACAAGGTCAGCCAATGAATAGGCACAGCAACTAAGTCAGCCAATGAGGACTGTTTTTGGAAACTGAAACTAGAAGTAGCCTAGGCTGGAAACTGAAACGAAAAGTAGCCTAGGCATGGTTCTATGTGTTAAGCTCTTCAACTCTGCAGCTATGTTGAGCTCTGAGTCTGCGTATTGAAGATGAAACTAACTTGCTTGCTTGCTGAAGTCTGGAGCTCTGCTCTGAACTTGCAACATGTTTCTGTTTGAGTTTGCTCCATGTTAGAGAAATCTATAACTGGTTTGTAAAATCTACTTATGTTTATAAAGATGTTAAATGAAGCATCAGCCATCTGTGTTTATTTTTCTGGTGCTGAATTATCGCTGCAAAACTCTCAATAAGTTCATTTAGTCACCTTTCAAAATTACAACAGTCCTGAAAAAAGTGACTTATGACCATTTTTTAACAGTTACAACCTTTGCAGCATCCCCATGATCATGTGATCAAAATTGGCACCTGATTTGTATTTATGACGGTTGCATTGTCTTGAGATCATGTGATCACCTTTTGCAACCTTCTGACAAGCAAAGTCAATGGGAAAGCCAGATCCACTTAACAACTTTTAGCAACTGCAGTGATTCACTTAACAAATGTGGCAAGAAAAGTCATAAAACGGAGAAAACTCACAACGAATTTCTGACTCAGCAACATAAATTTTGGGCTCAATTGCAGTCATAAGTTGAGGACTACCTGTACTTTACAGGCTATACATAGATTTCTGCAATCCACAGAATGGCCAGATCCCATAAATAAGAACAGAACTTTGTATAATTTTAATTGTGCTGATTATATTATACTGTTGAAAACAATATAATGAAATAAAAAATAATTATCCCACACTTTCACTAACTTTATTTCTGCTTGGTTGTGCTGAAAGGATCACATTAGATGTTGTTCCAACTGCCAAACTTACTAGTGTCAGATGGGATACTATATTTCTTCATAATATGATGAACTTGTTCATCTTCATCTGTAGAAGAATGATGAACATTCTGTTCCTCAAAATCAGGTAACAGAGATTCAAAAAACAAGGGAGTGATGTCATGGTTGCAGAAAGTTTTTGATAGAGTTTCCAACACTCTGTTATTTATTGTTAGATTGCCAGCCTCAAATAAAGCCTGTAAAAATAAACAGAAGACACAATGACAAAAAAGAAAGTAAATCAAAGAAGGTAATTAATGAACCCTTGGAATGGGTTTCTCACTGAGATCCAGAGAGCTCCCACTCTAACATCATTCAGGAAGGCCTTACAATCTGGCTGTTTTTCCCAGGTTCCTTAAAGTAGGATGGATGGAATCCCTTGTTATACACGTGTATTATATGTTCGTATTTTGATGCTAGTGGTACTGATTTTCCATTTATTTCTTTTATTGTATTTTTTAATTTCATTTCATTTAATCTATTTGTATTTGTCATTTACATCAAGAGTCAAGTGCCAAGGTAAAGATAAATGGAGACATTAAAATTTACTTAGAATACAATACTTATATGGTACCATTTAACATTAGAAGCCAAAATGGGTTGAAAGTTGTTAGTACTAGGCTATATCTGTCTCTGGATCATGAAATTTACATCTTAATCTATTATACAAAAGATATTTATGGATAAAAAAATACAAGAATAACATGAAAGATTCTATAAATAAGCAATAGATAAATTCTTAATGAATGTGATCAAGACAGGATAAAAAATGTCAGTGAAAATGCACTAACTATAACTGTGGGCCAGAAATAACAAAATGAAATTTTAGAGATAAATGCCAAGCTCATAAATTAAGTAACATAAGCCACAGGTAAAATATAAGAGATGCTTAGAGGGCAAGAGAACCTGTGCAAAATATCTTGAAATTATTGATCATTACAAAACTTTGATATGATGAAACTGAAGTTGCATTATGATGTGACTTCAGAAAAGGCAACTACAGATTTATACTTCACGAGAAGAATCTACCTATATATACTATTAAAATTCTTGTATCTGTAACCATTCAGTGGATGAAACAGTGTCTAACAAAATTAACAGACTTGGAAGGGACCTTGTAGGTCATCTAATTCAATCTCCCACCTAAGCAGGAGACCCTACACCATTTCTGACAAATGGCAGTCCAATCTCTTCTTCAAAGCCTCCAGTGATGAAGCTTCCACGACTTCCAAAGGAAAGCTGTTCCATTGGTTGATTGTTCTCACTGTCAGAAAATTTCTCCTTATTTCTAGGTTGAATCTCTTCTTGATCAGTTTCCACCCATTATTCCTCGTCTGGCTTTTGAGTCTTGGAATATAGCTTGACCTCTTCCTCTCTGTGGGAGCCCCTCAAATATTGGAAGACTGCTATCATGTCTCCCCTGGTCCTTCTCTTCACTAGACTAGCCAGGCCCAGTTCCTGTAACTGTTCTTCATATGTTTTTGTCTCCAGTCCCCTAATCATCCTGGTTGGTCTTCTCTGCACTTTTCGTTTGTTCTCCTTCAATGTGACATTGTGGCTTCTAGTCTCATAATAAGAATCCTTCCCATAATATGTTGGAACTGATTATTTGACTTCTATGCAAATTAAACATTTTCTAGATTTCTGATATTTTTCATCAGTTTTTTGTAATTCCAGCTTCTAAAAACTAACACATATTAAAAACAAACCTTAGAAAGTGGTGCATGTCTTGCCATCCTCAGCTTTTTCAGGGAATGAATTGCATCTAAGAGCGGATGAACATCTGATACAAGCTGCCTCCTCAAGTGATCCAAGTCTCTCAGAACTTCTAATGCCTTATCCACAGGAATTTGAAATTCCTTAGGGAAAAGCATCTAGAGAAGCCACAAAAAGCAACATCATAAACAGTAACTTTAGATTTTGCACTGAGATTTAGGGGGGTTAATTTGAGCATTGCATACTGCTAGATAAATAAAATCTCTACTTGAATATTAAATTTAAATATTCATATAATTCCAAATATTTCAATGAATTTTATAGAATCACACATTTAAATATCTGCTACAAAGGAGTACGTATACAGTTCAGCTATAGTCTTGGAAGCACCGCAAAAATTAATAGTGGCAATAGTAACACAGAGACTTTGAGTAAAATCATAAACTAAATTTATTTAAGGTATTGTTTTTAAATGATTGGAACAATTACAAGTGTAATTGTTTTTCAAAATACATTATAGTTGTTTCTTTCTATTATTCTTATTTCACTGGAAGGTTTAAAAAATGTCAGAATAAAACCACCTCCATAGAATCTCAGTTCATTCGTTCAGGGATTGTTTCAGAGAGGAAGTGAAGAGATATGATCCCTCCATCCACTACCAAAGCAATCACTGAAGAGAAATAGGCTTGAAGGCAGCACCTCAAACTACTATGTCCCCATCTTTTAAAATCTTCAATGATAAAATGTAGTTAACCATCTGCTGCACACCTCTGCTCAGCTAGATGAAGGAAGATCAGTGCCAGCATATATCCCAATAGGGGAATTAAGCACAGTCCTCCTTAGTCAAACCCAGCTCCTGGTAAATACAAGGACATGCCCATTCAATTTTTTAAGCAAAAATATGGAAATGATTCACCTCTGCCTCCTCCAACAAGTTTTTTCAACTTCCCAGTCTAGCTAATAGCTCTGAGATTTCCCAATGACCTTTCAGGGAAGTTTTAACCAGATTTAAATCAGTTTAGCTTTTTTGTGATTAGTCAAAGTCCACTAGGTGTTGCCACCTGCAATTATATAAGGGGAAAAATCAGGCTTAAATCTAATTAAATCCCTTTTAAAGCAAAATGCATTTGTATGTGTGTAGGAGTGTGACATTGAACCCACTTTATGTATTTCATAAATACAGAATAAATAGCCTGTTTTCTTCCTTCTGCTACTGTATATGAAACATACTTATTTTGCTAATAAATGCTACTATTTATTAACACCTTACTTTCACTTTAGCAGTTTATATGATGCTACTGGTGCTCCATAATTGTGTCTGGCATCTATGTATAGGAAAGTATCCTCGTCTACGCCAATTCCTTCCTTCCAAATAAAGCTGCTAAAGAGTCATCATTAATTATAGAGTAAGGGGCGTGCATAAGTGCACCAAGTGCCTACTGTCCCTGTCCTATTGTTTCTTTTTATTTTTCTTATATGTATCCATTTCAGGTACTCAGAATTATGTTTATACTTATACCTATTATCTTATAAGCGATTGACAAATCAAATAAATAAAAAATAAATAAAATAAATTATACTCATAGTATTTTATTTTCAATCATGTTGGACCACAGAGTTGCTTAAATTACATCTGGTCCCATTAAATTGATATATCCACCATCCATTAAAATTCCAATGTTGATCTTGTGGATCTCTTTCCCATTGTGCATAGAATGGCAAAGAAAACCAAACTCATGAAACAAACCTTGTAGATGAATTTGTAGACATCTAAGTAACGCAGAAATGTGATCCCCAAAAGATAAGACTTGTAAGCCCTTTCTGTAATGGAGAAGTTGCAGAATTGTTTTGCTATAATTTCCAGCTTAGCATCACCAATATCAGTATTACAGGACTCTAGCTTCAGTATTTGAAATATCAGCTGTATTGGCATGAAAAAAGCAGAATGGTAAATACTAGGCTCTCTCTAACAAGGTTAAATTAAGCAGCTCTCTTTAAAATCACAGACCTAGATCACTTAACAAAGCATCAGATAGATTCCAGTTGTTACAACAGGCAGCTTCTTAGCATCTTGTAAGCAAAATCAGGAATCAAAGCACTCAGGTTCGTGGGGCTTTAACTATTAATATAGTAATTTTTGTATCTTGCTATTTTATGATCAAGAACAATAACTTATTGATGAAGTGCAAACATATGCTATATTCATGTTTCCAATATTGTTGCCTGGCCTAACACTTCCTTAGTTCAGTATGACACTTCCTCTTGTGAATACATCTATTTTTATTGCATGGTGAAATAGATTATATGTGTTTACCAATGCAAAAACTTGCCCTGTATTTTTTCCAAAAATAAAATCAGAAACATACAGCATGATCTATTATTCAACCCACATTTAATGTTGTGTAGCTTTTTATAAACCTTTTTTAAACAGATTGATAAAAAATGTGAAAAGCAGAATTAAACCTTCTGGAAGGCCTCTGCTTTTTTTTTTTAATGTGTAGCTTTCATTGGGGATATTATCTGACATTCAGCCAGTTTATTTTAAATGACTGTTTCAATAATGATCTTTATATCAATAGCACTGGGATTTAAATATTTTTTTCATCTATGTATCAGCATCACTTTTTTGCCTGCTGAATAGAATAGAATGCCAGACTACCATAGCTGAAATACTATGTTATGATTTAGAAGAGAACTTACATTATTAAACAGATACATCAGTGAAAAAGATGAGTTATCCACTGTTATCAATCAGTCACACCTGATTTTTTTTACACAAATAAGCGTGTATGATATAATCTATGAAAAGTCATCTAAGCATATAGTTATTATTCCCAAGATACTTACCTTTGTTTTGTTTTCTGAAAGAGGCATTTCTGTGAAAGCACTGATACTTTTGGTAGACAATCCTACAATATTTTTGAGATCATTCTTGAGGCCATCAGTATTTCGGAAGAGATCTATGACCATATCTTTAAAACATCACGGGACAAAAGTTTAAAATTAAAAAGTTTGTTTTCCTCCAGTTTTCATAAAATACTATAAACAGAACACTTAAAAGATGATTTGCAAAAGAAAAGTAACTTATGCTAGAAAGTAATAAAGTGAATAAGAAAATATTCAAAACGTTTATTCCCCTATTTAAAATTAATTTGTATTTTTATCTCAAAGAGAAGCTTGAGCCACATACATTTTCTATTATTTGGTACTCACATTTAGGTAGTATTTTATTAAAATAAAAAAAATCTGATTATATAAAAACAACTATTTTCATACTTCTTCAATTTCATCTGACTCTTTCATTTCAGAAGCCTAAGAAATACATTCTTAAAATGAAATTAAATTCCCTTCTTGGTTAAATCTAATCAACTTAAATTAAAATTCAAAAACTGTTATTTTGTCATCAGCAAGTTGAGAAATCCCTATTAATTCAGACAGTATTAGTTAGTCAGTAACTGTATTTTCTGAATAGATATGGACAGCTCATTCAAATCTCTTTAGAACAGCAATTTATTTCCCTTTGGGATTTGTGGTGGAGATAGGTTGCCCTCAAGTCAGCCTTGACTCCTAATGAACAAGTCCATGAAGATTTTTTGGCAATGTTAAAGGAAATAGGCAGAAAACTGTAATAAAAATATATATCCATACATAATTGCTGAAAGCAAAGATTACCTTGTTTTCTGGAATGTGGTGTAAACTTAGTGATATTCATTACTGAAGTCAAAGAAGAAATATACTTCAAGTTATCACGGAAATATTTAAGTTGAGGGACATTTTCTTGTAACCTTTTTGAAGAAAAGAAAAGGAGTAAGTATTGGCCCTTTCAAATAGATACTTGCTACAGATTATATGCAAAGAATCTTACCACTTAATGTGTTGCTGAAGCTTTTGGGGATTCCCAACAATTATTTCCTGAAATTCTTGGAAGAGTCTTCTGTGGCTAATTAAATTGGACAGTGCACTATCACTTTGGTTTCTACTATGAAGAAGCTTCTTGTGGAATTCACTTTGACTGCACAACTCAGCAAAACTAACATCAGCAAGCTGGCATGTTTGCTGCAACCATCTAATGCTCTCGAAATCACAAAGGAGTGATGTTAGGTTTTGCAGATGGGCTAGCTTTAAACAATCAAAACAGAGACAAAATTAATCACAAATAAATAATAGAAAGCAATGAAAAGAACCTACCCAATATTGAACGGAAATACTCTTTCATGACAATGATGGAAGTTTTTGCCAATCAGGATTGGTTTCTAGGTCTAAGCAAGTAAGGCAGTTGCCCAGAGTTCCAGATTTTAGGGGACACTAAAATTGAAAAGACTTCCAAAATACATAATATGAGTATAAAATATAATAAGCTTTCCTTCTTGCTTTAGAACTTTTTCTTTCTACACTTTTTGATATACTTATTCACAAAGTCACCAGAATGATGGTGAGCAGTACACTAACCAAATGTTGAAGAAAATATATTATAGCTATGGACCTCAGAAACCTGATAATATTACTGGAGCAAGACAAAGGTCTGCCAGGAAAATCCAGAGCTGAAAATCATAACAGTAAAGCTTAAAAAAAAATCAAAGGAAAAAAAGGAACACGAGGATGCTTTTTAAAATTCCTAACAAAATTGGAACATGAACCAAAAAGGAGCGGGTATTAGAATATGATTTTATCTAGCACCTAATGACTAGAGCTGGTTCTGATATAATATAGGGTGAAAAACTGGTTTCTTCTAGCTCCAAAAAGCAAGTTCAGACCCTTTTCAATTCTGCTCCAAACTGCACTCAGTGCAGGACTTCAGAGGCATAGCTGAAGAAACAAGGAGGGAAAATTTGGAGTGGAGAAGCAGATGGAAGGGTACACTTCTCTGTCCATTTCCCTAGCAATGCTGCTCTACAAAAAACAGCTAGCTAAGCTTCAAAAACTTGTTAATATTAATTTCATATTATCACTGGTATTTTTCACATCCATACCATACTTACTTTTAACATCAGAATCTCTGGAACTGTGGCAAAAGGACTTCGAGAATTAAAAAGAACTTCTTTTAGCTCTCTTATTTTTGGAGGAAGAGTACCATTTCCTGTAAGAAACAACACCTTCTTGTCTTTTGTAATACATTTTATAGATTTCCACAATCTCTGCAGGTATTTTGAAAACCATTGAAACTTAAAGCAATGTTGTTCCAGCAAGTGTTTGTCTTCTAGAATAATTTATTGAATGGAAATGGAGATATATTTGATTTCTATAGTTTAAAATAGTTGTAAGTGAAAGAATTCTACCCAGAATTCAGGGGGAAATTATATTTAACCATCATGAGCTGAATCCAGCCTTAAAAGAAGGATGTCGGAATCATGCCCACTAAACTGCAGACCACTCTTTTCTTTATTACTCCATTTCATGTTTCAGCTCTTTTCAGGCACAAATAAAAACAATGTTTGTATTGACCATTCATTCCAAAGAACATTCTAAGGTTCATCCAGGGAGTAAACTTTCAAACCAGTACTCCATGAAATGTTTGTATCAACTTTAGGATGTTATTTGTTTCATCAAATAGCTTTTCCTTTGAATGAACATCAGAACATATTTTATTTTTTTAGGTTTAAGCTAGAATCACTCTCACAAAATAAAATGCCTGAATGTAAAGCATTTCAAATCCATCTGTGTTAACTAAAATAAAGAATGTTTCTCTTTGCAAGTTTTCAGTTCATCATCCTAGGTATCAACCAAGTATCTTCTTTAAATCTATGATGTTCTGAATAGTGCAGTCTTTGGCAGCTCAGCTGGTGCCACAGCAGGAAGCTGCAACTTCTTGATGTATTTTGCAAAATTCCTGGACATGGTGCCAAGTGCTCTGATGACAATGCATATCATTGTTCCATGTTGTTGTTGCTGTTGTTGTTATTGTTGTTATTTGATCTATCACTATTGTTGTATGTATACTGAGAGCTTATGAACTGGAGACAAATTCCTTGTGTGTCTAATCACACTTGGCCAATAAAGAATTCTGATTCTAATTCTAATATACTAGTTACATTAAGCCTTGTGCTACTATTGATTTTAATGAAGTGTAAACAGCTGTCAGCTATGGAATTCATCGCTGCCACACAGTTGAAGAATGTGAGAGGGGGTGATGTAAATTGAGTAGCTCTTAGTAGACAAAATATATTATTTTGATAGTTTAAGGTTACAGAGTGAGGCGCAGAGAAGAATAAAACTTACTGTGGGATTGGTGCACATGATCTGGTGATGAGGGAAAAAAAGTGGGGGGTTGTAGCTTGGGACTGGGTGGGGAAGTCGGGAAAAAATCGGTTCCGGACTTCCCCAGTATGTGCCAGGTACTGTTCCAATAAAAGTGTTTTGAGATGGCATGTGTCTTGGAGTTACTGGAAGGAATGGATTTTCTCTGGAACGCTGACAACAGCGGGTGCATGTTCATTAAATGCTGGGGGAACAGACCCAGTAGGATTCTTCTTGATCAGGCTTCCTGGCTTTTATCTGGGTATGAATTGCCATCAGTATCACCACAGAGCCCCTAGTTGCTATTAAACTCTTCCACAAGGTGAAGATTTAAAAACAAATATATTGCATGCTATTATGGAAGTATGTGTTACCTGATAATTCATCGTCTGGCCCTTGAAACACATTCATTATGCAAATGAAATATGATGAGAAGTTACTATTATGAGATGTTTTTAGGAAGACATTTTCAAATTCTGAAAACAGAAACCTGGGACAAAACAGAACAAAAAAGTCTCATGTAAAGTCACACACATTAAAGAATGGTTTGCAATTAAAAGAAAGTCTTCAATTTACCTAGAGCAGCACTAAGCCAATTTAATTCAGAAAATGTACCCAAATGTTCCTTTATAGGAGTTAACAGATCCTAAATAAGAAGAGTTCTACTTCTGTCGGTTGACTTATATCACTGAATACTTTAGATATAATTAACAAAATACCAAGATGATCTATCATTTTTTTAATTTCAAACTAGATTTGGGCTAAAAAAAATCCCACCAATCAATAAGATTTTCCCAAGTCTTTCCAAATGAATAACTTAAGCTTTAGTTTAAAATTCCCCCCCCCCCAATTTTAATAACAAACCAAATGAACAGATCTGAAAATCCACTGAGAGATTGGTTCTATAGATTAGATTTTCTTCAGAGTGAGAAACTTGATTTTAACTTTAAAATTGCAGATTAATCCTGAAGTTATTGAGTTTTGTTTAATAAATCTTTAAGACTGGATCATTGCAATTATTTTAATTGGAATTAAGAAAATTAATTACTTTAATTAATTAATTTAATTTTAATTGAAACTAAGATGCCCGATGTCTGTCATGAAGAGGTCTTAGGATGACACTGGGACTGCTGTGGCAGGTGCTTGGTAGCATAGGCTATGCAGATGCGCTTTTTAGTGCAAGGGTCAGAGGGGCCTGCCATTGCCATGAAGCAAGAGCAGAAGTAGGCAACTGAGGACTACAAACAGTGCTGCTGTTGGTGGCAGAGGGCATGTGGGGCCAGCCGTATGCTGGTCTGCCCCACTTAGGCCATGTGTTTGTCTTTGCCCTGCACAGAACTCACCTGCACGGTCCAGAACCCCAAGAAGCTAAACACACTGGAGGAGCTGGAGGTGGTGAGCAAGAGCTATGGAGCTGAGATTGGGTCAGGAGTGCCTAATTACCATCCAGTTCATGACCATCATGCCCCACTGCTCAATGGGCTACACTCATCAATCTGGGTTTGAGAATGAAACTTCAGAGTGGTTTACTTTTCAAGCACATGCTGGAAATCTATATATTAGAGGGGGCACATCCTACTGAGGAACACATCAACGAACAAATCAGTAATAAAGTCAAAGTTGCAGCAATAATGGAGAATCCCAGTTTGCGGGAGCCTGTACACCAAGGTGGACTGGAGCCCAAAAGACTTGGACTATATCTGGCACCTTTGTATCAACTTCTTTATAGCATTATCTTGAATTTAACAGTAAAAAATATTCATATCACTTAACATTTTTAAAGCAGAGGTGGGGAATGATGGCCCCTTTATAACTTATGGACTTCAACTCCAAGAATTTCTGAACCAGCATGGCTGGCCCAGGAATTCTGGGAGTTGAAGTCTGTAAGTCATAAAAAGCCCACTGTTTCCCACCCTTGTTTTAAAGAATTATTTTGAAAGCATCCAATAAAACATAGAAAGAGTGGCTACAGGAATTGGATATACCTAGTCTAGTCTAATGAAAAGAAGGACTAGAGGAGACATGATGGCAATGTTCTAATATTTGAGGGGCTCCTACAAAGACGAGGTATGTCTAGTCTAGTAAAGAGAAAATTAGGAGTGACATGATAGTAGCCTTCCAATACTTGCGGGATTGTCACAGAGAAGACAGGGTCAACTATTTTCAAAAGCAGTTGAAGGCAGGACAAGAAGTAGTGGGTAGAAGATCCTTAAAGGGAGATTCAACTTAGAAGTAAGGAGAAATTTTCTGATGGTGAGAACAATGAATCAGGGGAAGGGCTTGCCTTCAGAAATTGTGAGTGTTCCATCACTAGAAGTTCTCAAAAAGAGATTGGACAACAACTTAGCCAGAAGGGTATACAGTCTCCTGCTTGAGCAGTATTGGATTAGCTAAATATGAACCAGCAGTGTTCAGCGGCAGCCAAAAATGCCAATACAATCCTAAATTGCATTAACAGAGGGATACAATCAAGATCAAGTGAGGTACTAATGCTACTCTATAAAGTCTTAACATGACCACATCTAGAATACTGCAACCAGTTTTGGTCACCACACTATAAAAAAGATGTTGACTCTAGAAAAAGTGCAGAGAAGACCAACCAGGATGATTAGGGGACTGCAGACTAAAACATGAAGAATGGTTACAGGAACTGGGCCTGGCTAGTCTAGTGAAGAGAAGGACCAGGGGAGACATGATAGCAGTCTTCCAATATTTGAGGGGCTGCCACAGAGAGGAAGGGGTCAAGCTATTTTCCAAGGCATTCAAAAGCCAGACAAGGAATAATGGGTGGAAACTGATCAAGAAGAGATTCAACCTACAAATAAGGAGAAATTTTCTGACAGTGAGAACAATCAACCAATGGAACAACTTGCCTTCAGAAGTTGTGGGAGCTTCACCACTGGATGCTTTGAAGAAGAGATTGGATTGTTGTTTTTGTCAGAAATGGTGTAGGGTCTCCTGTTTGGGCAGGGGTTGGACTAGATGACCTCCAAAGTCCCTTCCAACTCTGTTAATCTGACAACATTTTAACTCTCCTTTCTCTACCTGTAATCATTTCCTCTCCCCTTTAACTCAATTTTTATAAAATGTGTGCAGATTGAGTGGCAAGGAGGGAGAATGCTACCTTTGGACTAGATGACCTCCAAGGTTCCTTCCAACTCTGTTATTCTATGATCTAACTCAAAACAAAGAGGAAATAGAACAATTTCTATTTGATCAGAAAATGAATTTTGACAATCATGTGAGATACTCAAGTGTACCAGTATATATGAACACTCTCTGCTCTGTAGTAAAGTCATCCTGTCAATAATGCATAAATATACATTTTTAAAAAGAATTATGAACCAGACATCAATAATTCTGCCCTGCCAGAATCCTGACATCTGCATCATTCTGAACATTTTATACAATATTATTTCTCATGTCAACTTCATCTCAAAAATGTTTCTTTTCTGCTGAAAAGAAGAGAATGAATTTCTCTTCATTCAACTAATTATGAAACACATTACTTACCGTGCAATCAAATTGCTTGGAGATTGCGCTTGTTCCCATTCCTTCCAAAATGTCTTGTTTAGAACTGTTTCTGCAATCATCAGAAAAGGGTGCCTAATACGATCAAATTTATATTGCAGCTTAGTTCTTTTTGACAGAAAATTTGGATCTGGATTTGCTTTAAACTCCTTTAGCAAATCCAAATGATTTAAAATAGAAATACTGACATTAAATATTTCTGGAACTGATTTGTTGTTATCCAGAACTTTCTCCATCATTTCAAAGCCATATCTTGCATTCTCAGTTTCTGTATGGTACCATTTGGACAACATAGCCCAAATCTGTGAAAAATTGCTTTTAGATGGAATAGAGATTTCATCTTCATTTTTTTGTGTGGCTTCATTCAGAGGAATGTTCAAATATGTACAATCTTGAAGCTGCTTAAAGAGTATTGCTAACTCATTCCAGTCTATTAATTTGTCAATGAAATTTTGTATATAATATTGTGTTTCATAACCTGAAAACAGCAAGGGAATTTTTGAAGGGTTATAAGTAACATCATTTATACCATCAAGAACTGGGATGAAACAAGTTGAATTAATTAATGGTAATTGTTTGGAAATTTTTGCTAAAGTTGCATACATCTCCTGTATCCAAGGATGTTGGAAATCAAAGAGTATATTCATTTTCAAAAGCAAGCCAGAAGAAAATTGTAGTGATTTGATGATGCATAATAAATCATTTGAAAAATGCACATTATTTTTTTGGTAAAGATTTGTTAATTTTGTCTGCTGGAAATTTTTTATGGAGAAAAGGAAGAAGTCAATAAATGTTTGATTTGTTCTCTTTTCAAAATCCATAGAAGAGAAAAGCAGTTCACAATGGTTTGGGTTATGTACTTCAGAGAGAGTGGTATTTCTAAACAGCATTTGAAAAATTATGTGAATTATATCTTGAGCATTGCAATTATGTGGCTCTCCCATTTTGTTGGTCCAACTATGTAATAATGGACTTAGAATTAAATATAAGATATCCACTGTTTTTGTTTCATTTCTATCCCCTAAGAAAGATTCACTGAACTCCTTTTGAAACAGAAATTGTGAAAAACCATACAAGGTGGCAATTTTTCCTTTCTCAGTTTCTTCCAATTTGCTGTCAGAAAGTATCATTGCTCCTTGATTCAATATGTCATAAATATTTTCAAAGATTTTGTGGCTATTATTAGCCAATGGGAGGATGGTTTCTAATTGACTGATGATAAATTGATGCACAAACCTTTGCTGAAATAACAGCTTCCTAACAGCAATATTAATTTGTTCTGAAGTGTTAATATGTGGGTTTTCTTCATTATATTTTGGTAGTACGTAGGGTAAAAGTTGAGCTAATCCTTGCAGTTCTGAGTTAAAATGAAGGTCAGAAGCATTATTCAGTAAAGAAAAATGTTTATATAATGTACTTAAAAAAAGTGAGCTATACATTACAGGCCGTAGTTCTCTATGAATATTTACAAAGGCCTTCAACTCATTTGACCAGGATTTTTTAGCGGTATTTTGGATTCTTTGCACTAATTGTGAAAGATAAGTAATCAGATTTACATTTGTTTTACTATGATAGTTATTCTGAGGGGTGAGGAATGGTTTCAGAATGTCTTTTATTACTGAAGATTTAAGAAAAAAGTCTGAAGATGTCAAAGGAATTTCTTCTTTTGAATTAAAAGCCCATGGTATTTCCACTGGAAATTGGGTAGTTGCTATAGATATTATCTTGTGGATAGTTTTCCATATCATTGTAAATTTTAAGTTGATCCAATTTAAAAACAATTCATTCAACATTCTTGTAGTTTTGTTTAATATGTGTTTGATTTGTTCTGGAGGATTATTGTAGAAAAGTCTTTGAAAAAGAGCATCGTTAGGTGATAAAAAAGTATTCATATTTTTTCTAAAATAAGTTTTATAATCTATGCCAGAACTGGAATTTAGGAACAATCTGAACATATCTAATACCTCTTCTAAAGAAGAAACTTTCATGCCCCAGCTTAAAGTTTCAAGAAGCTTGTATGTTTCTTTTTCCTTGTTGGCTAATCCAATGCCAACAAGAATTACTGCTTTTCTGGACATTTCTAGCAGTTGAATATACTGCTTTGTATTTGTCACATTCTGTTTCGAGTGCAATATTTCTACGGTCTCGCTCAAGATCTCTGAAAAATTACTCCATTTCGATTGATGAACACTTTTGCTCATTTGTAAAATCTTTGCTACAATCTTTTGATGTTTATTATGTAGCAAAAAAAAAGGCACGAATGTTTGATTCCAAAATGATGGGCTATCCAGGATATTTTTAATATCTGCTACTGTTTCTTTAAAAATAAAAGGACTCTGAATGTATAAAGCAGAAATTTTGTCAATTATATTGCTAAGCAATGGTTCTCTGCAAGTCAGATTATGTTGAGACAGATCAAGAGGAAAGGCATTTAGATTTTTATCAATCTTTTCTATCCAGGAATTCTGGTATTTATGGAGTCCAATTAATTTAGACAGAAAACTGGATGAAACTTCTGATAATCTGATGAGACACTGAAATTCACCTGCGAAGTGTTTCCTTTTGTTTCCCTGGATTATTTCAAAAAGTGATGCTGGTTTGAGACTTTTTGTTGTAAGCTGAAACAATTGGGTAAACATATAATGATAGGTTGTTTGGTTTTCAAAATCCAGAGAAGAGAAACGAAAATTACATTTTCTTTTACTTAAGGCTTCCTTTAGTGTGGCATTATTGAAAAACACTTCAATTGTAATGAGGTGGAAATCTTTGACAGTGCAGTCTGAGAGGCTGTTGTCAGCCTGAATGTTTTCCATTTGAAGAAGGCTTGGTGCTAAATACAAGAGTTGCAACATTTTTGCTTGTATTGAAGAATTATGCCACACTGGAGTCATATATAAATCCAGTAAAGATAATGCTTGTGAAAATCTGAGAAGGGAATCTGTTTTGTTAATATTAAATGCTTCTATCTGACTGGGATCAGAAAGTATCTCTATACCCTTCATAATTAACTGAAATAATTTCTGTACAGTTTCGTTGTTGGTATTCATTAGTGGATTAACAATAAAGAATTCGCTGATGTACTTTTTCTCCAGGTCCTCTAACACTTGTAAACTTTTCAAAATAGTATTTAAAACCATTGAAACATTTGTTCCCTTGATGCTCCCTGCATCATATTTTTTCAATAAGTGATTTACAAATTTAATCATTTGCTCTAGTTCTTTCTTCAAAGGAAGTCCAAAATTATCATGGTTGACATACAGATTGTCATGTAATGTATCTAAAATCTGTCTATATATAAGGATGTCTGTATCACTCCATTTTGCAGACCTCAGTTTTTCAACAATGTGCCAATAAATGTTGAATTCATTCCACTGAGATTCATTAATGGAATTTTGGATTTTCTGCATCAGGTTGGTCAGGGAAGAGATCAATAGGTAGTTATGATTAGTCCTGCTATTTGTTATGACACTAAAGATTTTCTGAAGTTCCAAAAGCTTCTCAGGAAAATTGTCAGTTGTTGCAGGCTTAAGCAGAAAGTTTACTAATGATGGCACTTCTTCCACTGAAGTTAAGTATTTTCTATATTTTTCAGGCAGGAAAAAGAATTTGAGGACAGTACCCATTTTAACAGTTTGCCATGCCTTTCTGGCTTTAAAAATAATATTATTTAAAAATGTGATATCCCTGATGTTCCTGTTTAAATTGTGGATATTTTGAGTTTCTTTTAAATCAAATAATGGCATTTTCTTCAAGCTATTCTGAGATTTTGTATTTCTTTTGAAATCCTTTAAAAAATGGCCAGTCTTAAGTTCTTCATCAGCAAAATCAAGACCTAAAAGATTCCTGTAATAAAAAGATACAGAGTGCATCATTTATAACAGAACAAAGCAAATGAAAATGCCATGAAATGCCATGAAATTTATTTCCCCTTTCCAATAGTGTTTTTATAACTTGTCTTCCCAACAACCTCTTCCATACACCTTGTTTGCTTCTATTTTTAACAAATCATATTTTGCTATTAAAGATAAGGCTTATGCTTATGACTGATTTTAAATAAGATTCCAATGAAACATGAAGAATTCCAGATATGGTTTTTCATGGTTTCTGACCCAGTTTTTTGTCTTCTTCCAAGGCACTCCCGCCTTTTTAGTTCCCAAATTCCTCTTTTCTAGCCAAACCTCTCTTTAAACTATAAAAAATTTAAAACTCTGTTAATAGCTTTTATTAATGTCAGTGGATGTTTCTTAAATGCTTACAGTACTGTACTGCAAAAGATATGATTGCTGATCTATAGGAGAGAGTTAATCTGTTTCTTCCTACTGCTTCAATCAGGGTGAAAACAGTAGCTCACATGGGAGCATTTTCAGCAGCTCCACATTCAATTGAAACATGGCAGTTCAAATTTCATGCATATTCTGTTGAAATATATTTTATAAAGTGTATTATCATATGCTAAAGTCATACATGAATTTAGTTTATAAATAAAAAAGTACATTAAAAATAATGGCACTCATTTTTTGATAGACACGTATAGTTCTTCTGTTGATCTTGTGTGAACACTGGCTTTTACATGTGTATATAGGCCAGTGGTTTTTACTACCGGTTCTGTAGGTGTGGCTTGGTAGGCGTGGGAGGGGAAGGATACCGTAAAATCTCCAGTCAAAGGTGGTATTTGCCGGTTCAACAAACTACTCAAAATTTCCACTACCGGTTCTCCAGAACTGGTCAGAACCTGCTGAATATCACCTCTGATACAGGTAATCCTCAAAGTACAATAGATCATTTATTGTCCGTTCAAAGTTACAACAGACCCACCCACCACCACCAAAAAAAACCCCTATACACAACAACCCTGTTTCAAAGTTCCAAATTCTATAGGACCAACCTGAATATTCACCTTACGAATGATTGGGTTCTATATAATTCTTAACCTTGCAGAGACACTGCAGCACATCCAACATATCTAGTTCCTTCTCCATCCTGCCTTAACAGGTTTTCAAACAAAGACACTTTGTTTCCCCACCAAATTCCAAATGGCTCTCTTCCACCCCTCACAATCCCACACTTAGCTTCTGAAGATTAGCACAACTCAGGAGGCTGCGAAGGAGGAAGTCACATGGGAGGATTCCAGCAGCCTCCTTTTCAGCCTGTTGTGAAATCTACACAACACCCAAAGTAGCTGCATTGTTCTCAGCCAAATAAGGTTACAAAATGCACTCTTTTCTATCCAGCATGAGGAGGAAATGTTCGTGCTTTGTGGAATATTTCAGCAAAGCAACTTCTTTCTTTCAAAGGGGTAGAATGTTACACTGGTGTTCAGGGAGCTAAAGAATTCTAGGAATCCCTAGCTCCCTAAACAACAGTGTTCTTCTCTACTCCAACTTCCTGAATTCTGGATATCTTTAAAAGGTAAGTGTGCATTAGTGCTGAGGTGGAGTATGGAGGAGGCCCTTAGGGTTTTGGGGAACCCAGGATACAAGGGGATAATGTGGGAAATCTCAGAGGGTGGGGGAGGCCTCCTTGGTGTGCTTGTGCCTGGACTAAGCCTCCCATTGTTTGCCCCATCCCTGAGTCACATTATGCTCTACCTAATGGCCTGTGCATTAATTAAACAAATGCTTTAGGAAAGCAGGGACAGGGAGGTGGTTAATTATGTACTTCATTTAATGTAATACTTGATTTATCATCGGGCTCCAGCTACCAGCCCTGGACGACATGTTCGCATCTCGCTGTTTGAGGAAGTTGCACAACCTTCTCAGAGACTTTTCCCATCCTGCTTACAATTTTATAAACTGTTGCCTTCTGGCAGAAGAGACAGAACAATTAAAACTCGGACCACACGTTTTCTGAATAGGTTTTATCCTATAATTGCACTTAACAATGAACTTAAGGACCACCATCAGTGAACTGTTGGACAGTATTACTTGGTCTGTTGTGTGGATGCTTGTGTGTTTTTAGGAGGCGGGGAATTTTTGGCAGGTGGGGTGGTGGTTGGGGATTGTCATGTGTGTGTGCATGTTGGGTCTGGTCTCTGGGTGTTATGTGAATTTCGTTGTATGTATACTGTGTATATATGTACAATGGCAATAAAGAATTCAATGATTTCCAATATGAATGGTCAGGCTCCATTATTATCGTAAGTTGAGGATTATCTGTATTTCAGTCAAATACTGATATATATTTTATACCTGCTTTCTTAACAATATAAGAGGAACTAGAGAAATACTCAAATGATTGGAAGAAAACAGAGTAGTTTCTCCATTCCTTTTGAAGTAACACTTTATAGCAACAGAAAGAATAACTTTGCATAACTCAGAACTCACCTTAAAACTACTTTCATTCTGTCAAATAAAATCAGAATCTTTTTCGAGAAATCAGGTTGTTCACAAATGTAATTTACTGCCAAATTATTTTTATCTACAAAAACAAGCCAACAAATAAATGAATTAAATTACCAATTTTAATTATTATCTTTCAATTGTGAGAGGGTACTATTATTTTGTTACATCCCTGAGTCACATTATGCTCTCTGCCTGTAAAATAATAGCATTGAAAAAAACCTATAAATGCCTCTCTGAGGTTTTTTTTATGGTTTTCCAGAGAGTACAAAGCATGTATTCCACCTTAAGCTGATTTATATTTGTCTTCAGGGTTGTTTCAGATCATTATGAGGTATCTGTTTGCCTATTTAGAAATCTAGATAGATAAATTGGGACTGACACATCACTGCCAGTGTTCATCAGGAAGAATGAATGAAGGGAACTGTTTTCAAATTTAACAGAGTAATATTTAAAATTAGAATCTTATACATTGGCTGCAATATTTAGAGCAATGTCAGCATTTCTTTTGCTGAATAATGTTTTGGGGAAGTTTTTGGGAAGAACCATATTCAATTAACTATGTAAGAGACCTGAAGCAAGAACATTTAGTAATACAAGGATTTGGATCTACCTACAGGAGTTTCCATTTCATTTCACTGACTCATCCCACCTACATAAGCAGGGAAGGTATGTTGTGGATCCCGTCACTTGAAGAAATTCAACTGGTGGAGTCTTAAGAAGAGACCCTTCTCTGCCAGTGTTTCCTGCCCTGTGGAACACTTTGTCCCAGAGACCAGATAGGTCTCCACTCTCCTAGCCTTTTGGAAGAGCTTCAAGGTTTGGCTCTGCCAATTGGCATGAGGGTCTATCATGCAAGCACGAGGGGGAAGGGTTGGTGGGTTGAAGGTACTTCCTCCATCTAGTAACATTTCAATAGTTCCATTTAACTCTTTTCAATTTGGTTTTTAATTTTGTTCTTAAGTATTTATTTTATGGCTTTTATATAATTTTGTTTTACTTGCAAACCATCCAGAGTCAACCAAGTGTGATGGGTGATATGGAAATTTGATAACTAAAATAAATGAATAAATGACCTAAGTAACTTAGGTCTCTGATAAGGTACAATAAATGGACTGGTCTCACCTTGTTCTGAACAGTTCAAAGTAGATAGCCAGCTGGTCATATTTAAAATCATTTGGTGACTCTTATCCCTCTTCATAAATAGCCTTTAAAACAAGAAAAGAAAAGTCTGATGATGCAATGAAATCAGGAATGAGCCCATTCTGGCTCATAGCACAGTTTTCCATGTAAGGGACATGCTCAACTCTTTTATGATATGCACTTTTTAAAAGTGTTTGAACAATGTCTCCGAAAAAAATCCTGAAAGAACTAGAATTCATAGCCGCAGGGAAAAAACCTCCACTCACATTAAATTTATAACCAGTCCCATGCTCCATTTTTAACCTTTTCCAGCTATAAATAAAATGTTACTGTATCATGAAAGACCCAGAAGGGACTGGTTTAAAAGCAGCTTTCTCACCAGTGGCATATAATGCAACACCAGTGAAATTGTATGTGAAAAGGCTTTTGGGGAAATGTTGCAGAATATATTAATTTGTTTCTCATATTTATTTCAGTGATTCTCTTCCACATGCTTCTTTCTTATTTTCAACACTGTGGGTGTGGTGGGGGCGGTTCTTCAGGCAGTTGAGGAGTCAGTACTGACTTGAACACACACACACACACACACACACACACACACACACACACTAAAAAGAATTTGACAGTATGGGAGCTATCAAAGAAATGAATTTCTTCTAACCATTACCTAAGGCATTTTAGGAAAAGAAAATGGCAGCTGCTAGGAGATAGCCGCTAGAGAAACCATGCCACCAAAAGCTAACAGCCTCCATTTAAAAAAAAAAGGGGGGGGGGAATAATGAAAACAAGGACAACTGCAATCATTTGATTCAATGTTCCATTCATTATAAAGCGGAGGCATATTTCTTCATAAATATAATAATGCAGGCCTTTTTTGCTGCCAAATTTAATTTCGCCATACATTAAAAAATCATAATGGTGGTCTATAAATTTACTACAAAATGATCAAATTTTTCCACCTTACTTTAATTTCATATGGAAGTAATCACCATCCATTGTGGAATAATTGGACACAAATTGATGTTTAGAAGGGGGAAAAAAGCCCTTAAATTATCTCAGTTCATCAAAACTGGCTTCATTTGTGTAACAGTCAAAAAGTACTGTTAGTGAAATGCTGTGTACAACAGTTTCTAGCTTCCATCTGTTTTACCTTTTCCTGCTGTGAAGAGTATCAGCCATGTCTCTCACTGCGGTGGCACCATGAATTATATCTGGAGTCATCAGGAGGAGGTTCCATATAGAAGTTTCATTCTGTACTTGGGAGATTAGTGATAAAAATGATCCAGCTTCCTGGACAAAACCCATCTGGTAAGAAGGATCCTTCTGTAACTAGAAAGAGAAGCAAAAGAACATCTTTTAAAATACAGTATGAGTATAGGTAGTCCTGAAGTTATGACTGGTCACTTAATGACTGATGGACCTCCCCCTCAGCAGAGCTACTTATGATGTTTTTGGACTTATGACAACTGCACAACCCCATCACATGATCACTCTTTGGGCATTTGGTAAATGGTTCACCTTTACAATGATCTGTACATCCCGTGGTCACCTGACTGCAGTTTCTTACATTTTTTGATAAGAGTCTGGTGTAGATTTCTATAGGGACATTGTCATTCAGGTGGCAGGTGGGAGGCTTGGGGAAGGGTCTCTGTATGGGGTTTCTGTTTCTATTCCTTGCTTTGCCTTGATGTAACTTTCAGGATCTTGGGAGGGGGGAACGGAATGTGCCTCAAGCCATCTGTCTCATCTCATCTCTGGAGAAGAGCGGCAGCATTGCCTTGGGAACTGGAGATTATCACTTTCTCAACCTGAGTTTCTCATAACGTCTTTATACCTCAGGATTGGCTCGATGATGGACTAGGCTTTGGGAGGGGCTCTGTTTGCAATGGTTTAATCTAACATTTTGAATGGGAAATCTTAGTTCCTGACTACATCTTCTTGCTTTCACAATCTTCCAATAAAATTCCTTTTGAAATGGCTTTTGTTTCAAGAATTCTGTTTTCTTGAGAAGACTGGCGAGGCAGGACTTTACACCCCTTCCAGCTGCCTTGATTCTATTATTTTGACTAAGCTCATATTGATTATCATAAATCAACTGAATTTCAGATAAGCTAATCGTAGGAAAAGGAGAGCTTAGTATCTCTTATTTATGTAATTTGCTAGCTAATATAGTGGGCTCCACACTCACACCCGTTTTTTCTCGATGACAGAGCAGACCAATATTTAAATACCCATATCTATCATCACATGGGCAGGTTTCTATTTAACAACTTCTTCCAATATTTTTCATCATCTGCCTTTATCCTTGAGCTGAAAGAAATTCTGTTCCTTCTTTTCAGATGCATAATTGCGACTCTTTCATCCATAACTATTAGTTTTTTTTTTTCTTTTACAAAATAACCAGCTTAAAGTTTGTACATGCATTGTAACCAAATAGATAGAGTGTGGAAAAACTGATAAATTTTTTTAAAAATGGATTAAGGGAGCTCTTTTCTAAGCAGTTTATGAAAGTTATATGTAGTAAATTACACTGCTCAAAAAAATAAAGGGAACACAAAAATAAGACATCCTAGATCTGAATGAATGAAAACTTCTTATTAAATACTTTGTTCATTACATAGTTGAATGTGCTGACAACAAAATCACACAAAAATTATCAATGGAAATCAAATTTAGTGACCCATGGAGGTCTGGATTTGGAGTTACACTCAAAATTAAACACTACAGGCTGATCCAACTTTGATGTAATGTCCTTAAAACAAGTCAAAATGAGCCTCAGTAGTGTGTGTGGCCTCCACGAGCCTGTATGACCTCCCTACAACACCTGGGCATGCTCCTGATGAGGTGGCAGATGGTCTCCTGAGGGATCTCCTCTCACACCTGGACTAAAGCATCCCCCAACTCCTGGACAGTCTGTGGTGCAATGTGGTGTTGGTGGATGGAGCGAGACATGATGTCCCAGATGTGCTCAACTGGATTCAGGTTTGGGGAATGGGAGGGCCAGTCCATAGCATCAATGCTTTCGTCTTGCAGGAACTAGTGACACACTCCAGCCACATGAGGTCTAGCATTGTCTTTCATTAGGAGGAACCCATGGCTAACTGCACCAGCATATGGTCTCACAAGGGGTCTGAGGATCTCATCGCGGTACCTAATGGCAGTCAGGTTACCTCTGGCGAGCACATGGAGGGCTGTGCAGCCCCCTAAAGAAATGCCACCCCATACCATTATTGACCCACTGCCAAACCGGTCGTGCTGGAGGAAGTTGCAGGCAGCAGAACGTTCTCCACAGTGTCTCCAGACCCTGTCATGTCTGTCACATGTGCTCAGTATGAACCTGCTTTCATCTGCGAAGAGCACAGGGTGCCAGTGGTGAAAATGCCAAACGTCCTGCACGGTGTTGGGCTGTAAGCACAACCCCCCCTGTGGACATCAGGCCCCCATACCACCCTCATGGAATCTGTTTCTGACCATTTGAGCAGCCACATGCACATTTGTGGCCCGCTGGAGGTCATTTGGCAGGGCTCTGGCAGTGCTCCTTCTGTCCTCCTTGCACAAAGGCAAAGGTAGTGGTCCTGATGCTGGGTTGTTGCCCTCCTATGACCTCCCCCACATCTCCTGATGTACTGGCCTGTCTCCTGGTAGCGCCTCCATGCTCTGGACACTACGCTGTCAGACACAGCAAACCTTCTTGCCACAACTCGCATTGATGTGCCATCCTGGATGAGCGGCACTACTTGAGCCATTTGTGTGGGTTGTAGATTCCATCTCATGCTACCACTACAGTGAAAGCACTGTCAGCATTCAAAAGTGACCAAACCATCAGCCAGAAAGCATAGGAACTGAGAGATGGTCTATGGTCACCACCTGCAGAACCACTCCTTTATTGGGGATGTCTTGCTTACTGTCTATGCTTTCCCCCTGTTGTCTATTCCATTTGCACAACAGCATGTGAAATTGATTGTCAATCGGTGTTGCTACTAAGTGGACAGTTTGATTTCACAGAAGTGTGATTGACTTGGAGTTACATTGTGTTGTTTAAGTGTTCCCTTTATTTTTTTGAGCAGTGTATATTCTCCTCAAAGGGAGAGGAAGGGAAAAAGAAAAGGAATGAGAGATGAATGGATACTTACTTTTGAAATATGAGTTCTGAGTTCTTGAAAAAATGACTCCAGAAGAGACATGTTGTTGAGGCACAATGGCTGATAGATGTTTGTTCCAAGAGTTTCCAAAAGGAGACTTTGCAAAGATGCATTCACTGATAGAACCTCACAGACAGCAACTTTAAGGTTTGATTGTGAAGAGTTTTGTTTCTGCATCCAAATTAGTAAAATTGCATATAAAAGTAATGAAATAAAATTATTTTGTTCAGTATGACTAGATACAGTTTTTCTAAAATGAGTTGATCAAATGTTTGGAAGAACATGATACAAGAACTCCTTGACTTACAACAGTTTATTTAGTGACCACTCAAATTTACAACAGCACCAAAAAAATGACTTACGACTGTTCTTCATACTTATGATCATTGCAGCATCCCCGTGGTCACATGATCAAAATTAAAATATCTGACAACTGACTTTTTATGATGGTTGCAGTGTCCCAGGGTTATGTGATCACTTTTGTGACCTTCTGATGAGGAAAGTCAATGGGGAAGCCAGGTTCACTTAACCATGTCACTAACTGTTTCTTTTTCCAAAATGGAAAATAATTCAGTGTCCCTCAAACTCACCAGGTCTGTGAATGAGGTTTTCTACATCCCATTTTATGAAAATGAAGGAAGCTAGTTACTAGAATCCTTCCCACAACCCCAAAAGTCCACTAACACTCCATGTGCTTGTTTACATGTAGTTATGCATATTTGTCTCAGTCTGTGTGCAAGGAAAGCTCATTTGAACAAAGTAAAAATACTGTATTTAGAAGTCTCAAAAGTCTTAGAATCACTACTTCTGTGCCTGCCTCTGATAACCATAAAATTTCATAAAATAATTAGAATTTCATCCAGTGGAAAACTTTCATCCAGTCCAAACTTTGCAACTTGGAAATTTTTCTAAAATAACAACTACTTGACATTGGAATGGTTCTTTGCTAAAAAAAAACAATATTTTTTTTTAAAGCAAGGATCTATTGGGTTGTAACTTCAACAATGCTGGAAAGATATGGAAACTTAAAGCAAAGATGGAGCACTATATAATGCTGCCATGAGCTTCTTACAAAAGGTTGGTTATAAATCCAATCCAATCAATCGTTTCTATTATTTGAAGAGAGGGAGGTAATAAATAGCTCTACAAATGGGATGGCTGTTGCATTACCGATAAACCAGCAGATGGTGGGCTTTCCTGGTGGATGAACACAATTGATTCTTCTACTGTATAGAATACTTCGTTCAGTCATCTACTATTTCAGGTAGCTTCCAGATGCATATAGCCTTTTAGCAATATACACTTTTTTCTCTTATTTTATGTTTCACTTGAAAACCAGCATGAAGTTTGAATCTACTAGAAGATTAGATGTCCTAGCTTTCTTCAGGATGGTTAAGGTTTCAGTTATTTTAAGTTTAAATACAAATAAATTTGTTTCATGCTGTACTATTTACACCACTAATATAAATTATTTTGTTTTTATTTGATGATCAGAATTATCATTTTTGCATTATCTATATTCAGTACACATGGGAGTATAAACAAATGACATTTGGGTGCTTTTTAAAGCTAAAATATTTATTTTATTTCTTCATAAAAACATTAAAATGTATATACCTACATTAACTTTAGGTAAAAGGGGGCATTTAAAGATGACAATATATAGACAATTACCTCTGCTAAAGTGAGAATATCATTAAGCAAGTATATTTTGTCATAGCTGGTTGGTGATGAAATATTTTCAATAAAAACTTTCAGATTGAATGTTGAATCAAGTATCCCTGTAAGTGAAAGAAGAAAATGCTTTACCTCATCATTACAATATAAAGCCTGGGATAAATTATAAAGAATCATAAAGAGGAAGAACCCAAATTCCCAAAGAGTACTGGGACCTAGCAGGGGTATTCAGTGAGAAACAAGGCAACATGCTACCTCCTATCCTCTATGCCCATGAGTTTCTGCTGGGAGCTAAACTTCCCAAACCAAAGATGTACTCCATCACCCCAAGGGAGATGACTTCATTGACAAAAAAAAAACTTTCTAGGGGTTTCATCCAGCTGGCAAAGTCCCTCATGGTGGCCCCAGTACTGTTCAAAGAAAAGAAAGATGGGACAATGAGTTTGTGCGTTGCTTTTAAGGGGATAAATGTGTGTGGATAACATGCACCCCCTTCTCCCTAATGAAGGACATGCTAGCCCTTCTGGCCTAGGGGAAAATCTTCACTAAGCCAGACCTGAGGGAGGCATACTAAAGAGTGAGTATTAAAAGCGGGGGGCAAGTGGAAAATGTCTACATTGTCTAAATGTCACAATTGCCTAAATTGTATGCCAAATTGTCTAAATGTGAATTCCATAAGACCCACCTTGACTACCTAGGATATCAAGTATCAAGCATTGAGGAGACAGGGGGAGAGATGAACCCAGGAAAGGTAAAAGCCATCCTGGAATGGCAACCCCCTTGAACCCGCAAACAACTACAAAGCTTTCTGGAAAGTTCACAAACTTCTACTGGCAGTTCATTCCCTCCTTTGCCAAGACAACCTTGCCAATCACTGAACTACTAAAGACAGGGAAAGCAGGGGCCAGGCCAACCACTAGAGTGGGCTATGAAATGCTGTTCTGACCAAGGCTTCCACACCATAATTACGCACACACATCTTTTAAAAACAAGACTTATTTTAATGCAACATTGGGAATTGTTTGCATTCCCAGCTGGAATTAATTTCAAACAGTCCCCTGAGATAAGCACACACGGTTCAGTTCTGTGAAGTGCTGCCAAAAACACATATCAAATGAACTGGAAAAGAAACCAAACGAAGTACAAAAAAAAAAAAACCAACCAAAGCATGAAGAGCTTCCAAAATGACTCTGAACCGATCGAACTACTTTGCTTCCTGTAGAGGTATTGTCATCTTGGCCTGACCTTTATACCTAATGGAAGGGGCAATCACCTCCCAGCTTTAATCCCGAGTCGCCCCTTTTGTTTCAGCTGCTCTCAACTTCTAGCAGCTTTCTGCACACGCACACTGGGAACAAGCTCCCCTGGGTCCTCTGCCTCACTGCTACCAGACTCTGAGAAGGATCTGAAGGCAGCATTCCACTCCCAGATGGTCCTGGCCCCATCTCTGCATCAAATGCAGGACCCTCATCCAAGTCCTCTCCAGACTCCCTGACTGGTCACCGTTCTTCCCCACTGTCTGATTCCGCTGCTGTCTGCACCAGCTGTCAGCGAACCACAACACTATCCCTCACTGCAGGGTCCTTCCCCTGGGTCTGATGGTCCTGATGTGGCTGTGATGGGAATTGGGTGTGGAATGCATCCAGCAAAGCAAGGGCATGTACAGAAGTCACATCTTCCCATGTGAAATCCTCCAGTCCATAACCCTTCCACTCAATGAGGTACTGGAACTGCCTTTTCAGCCAACCGAGAGTCCCAAATGCTGATGACCTCATACTTAGGCAGTTCATCTCCATCACATGGTGCTGGCTGGGGACAGTCAGGCTGGTGGAGCGGACAGGCTGGCTGTTTAGGAACCAGGAGGTATTTATGGAGAATGGAATGGACACATAGTAGTGAGTGAGGCAAGATCAGGCAGTAGGCGACCAGGTTGATAACTGCCTCCACAGGGAATGGGCCAAAGTACTGATGGTTGACCTTCTTGTCTCTCCAGTGTCGGCAAGGGCTGGAGCAGTCCTGGGGGAGCCCCCGTCACTGACTTGACCTGCCAGCATAGCATACAGAACATGACATTGGATTGGATGTCGTGTCGTAGTCGAGGCCACCAGAAAGTCTGAGGCATGAAATGTAAAGTTTTGAAGAGGCCAAAGTGCCCCGCCGCAGGATTATCATGGCACTGCAACAAGATAAGTACCCGGAGTGGCCCAACTGGTACATAGAACCTGTTGCAGTACTACAAGAGTTCCTCAGTGAACAACCATGGAGAGTTGGGCCCCATCTCTTGCTTCCATTGATCCACCCAAGGATCATGCCACTGTGCCTCCTGTATCTGAGCCTGTAGGTCCACTGGTTCCTGAACTGCAGAGAAAGACTCTACGGGCAGAACCATCCAGAGTGGGAGTTGATCCTCAGTACCTGAGTATTTGGGTTTCCACAAGAGTGCATCTGCCCTGATCTTCCAGTTTGTAAGGCTTCAGCAGTGGCAGGAATCCGTGATCGTGCGTGGTTTCTGCTGCGCTCGCCCCTGGAGTGCCCCCGATCCAGCCGGATTTGGGGGCTAATAGTTATCCCATAGAGATAACTGAAGATAGGGGAGATCCAGCAGGGGTCTGGGGGAATCGCAACCCCCTTCCTCAGCTGGCTTTAACTCCCTTTTCCAAAGACAGTGGAGCAGTGTCAGCAATGGCCGCCACAAAGAAGCTTTGCATCTGGACAAGAATGTGCAGGAGGAAGCTGAAAAAGTGAAAGTTCTGGCTGACCGGGATAATAAGTAGCATTTAAATACCCTGGAATTTCAATTTTGTTAAAGATACATCATTTCCTAAGAAGATTGGGAAAAGCGGCGGAGGAAAGTTGAAAGGGAAAGTTTTTTTTTTTCACTCTCCTTCCTTACGGTGATAGCAGATGGAAATTGGAAAAACCCTGTTCTGGCACCAGCAGGTAATTAAATTTGAAAGTAAAAGCCAAGGGGACATTAAAGATTTCTGAACATTGAAAAAAAAAATCTTTTTGTTACTCTTTGCTATAAGAGGGAAGGGAGAGGAAAAGAATTAACCATTAAGATTTTTGCTGGAGGAGGCTGCTTGGAACTTATCAAGATTAGAGTTAAATTGTAACAAGACTTCTAAAAGATACATTTTGGAACTTTGCAATTGAACTGTACCCCAGGAAAGGAAAGTATAAAAAGAAGAAAGTGCTAAATGAAACAGACTGTGTGTATTTGGACTGCTTTGTGACTTTGGGACTTTTGGAAATTATTACTTGAAAGACTAAAAACTTTTGGGTTGTTTTAAAAACTTTTTCACTATGGCATTACTTGTTGATGAACTGAAAATGGAATTTAAAAAGCTGAAAGAAGAGGAACAAGAAGGGAAGGGCTCTTTTGTCTTTCATTTTTTAGAAATGGCGATTTCTACCTATCAGCAATTACAAGAACAAGAAGGCTGGGATGAAGAAGCCATCTTTAATGAACAAACAACTTTAGTTGGGGAAGAAAAGGGAAAGAGGGGAAAGAGAATGGAGAATTTAAGACTTAAAAAAACAACCAAAAAAGGGAAAAATAAGGTGAAAAATCGATACAATGTCAGAAAGCAACAGAAAAGAGGAATACAGAGGAGGATGGAGATTAAGAGGGTGGAGATCAAGAGACGGGGGGGGTAAAAAGGCTAGATTGGAGAAGAAAGGAGGGGGGGAAAGGAAGAGAAGTTACAAAGGTTTGAAATAAGATGTAAAGAAACAGGATTTATTCAGAGATAATGGGTAAAAATATAATTTTAAAAGAGATTCTGCAAAAGTACATAAGACTATATTGTTGTATTTGTATTTGAAATAAGCTTAGAAAACTGGAACATTATATGATGATAAGAATGTGTAAAATGCTTAAGATTTAATGATAGAGTTTAATTTGCTATGGATTATTGTTTTAACTATATTATAAAATTATCATTTTTTTCTATTTTAAAATATAGTATGTAGCTTTAGAATGTACTAAGCAGAATCAGAATGAAAACTATATATTATTTTAAGTGTTAAATTTAGGGGAAAGATATAAAGGCGTCATACTTCAATCAGTGATTACAGGAGAAATTTTGTGTTAATGAGAAAAGATAATAGATAATTGAAATAGAACAGATAAATCATACAAGCATAATGATTTAAATTGAGATGAAATAAATAAGATAGAATTAAGAGAGTAAAAAGAGGAGAGAAGCTATATAGAAAATGTAGAATGATAAATAAGATATGAAATGGTATACAATGTGAGCATGAATTTGATTTATGTCTGTATAAAAAGATGTAACCCGGGACTAAGCCGCTTTCCAAAAAGAAGTTTTATGTTTACATGTTTTGTGTTTTGTTTGTGTATGTTTGTTTATTGAAAATTAATAAAAAATTTATATTAAAAAAAAAGAGTGCATCTGCCCTTCGGTTGCAACCACTCGGGTTATAAGTGACATGGAAATTAAACTGGGCAAAGAAGAGGGACCACTGGATCTACTGTTGATTCAGTTTCCAGGTGGCCTTCAACAACTCCAAGTTTTTGTGATCTGTCCAGACTTCAACTTGATGTCGCATCCCTCCAAATGATGCCTCCAGACCACAAACACCACCTTAATGGCCAGTAGCTCCTTTTCCCAGATGGTATAATTGTGCTTGAAAGAACTGAGCTTCCGCAAATAATACACGCAAGGGAAGAGGGTACCACCGGATGCATGAGCCTGGAGTAACACCACTCCGAGTGCTACATTGGACGCATCTGCTTCCACCACGAACGGACGGTGTGGATCAGCATGTTTCAAGATAGGGTCTTTCATGAAGGCCTGTTTCAAGGCCTGGAACGCTTGTTGCTCAGGAGCACTTCACCGGAACTGGACCTTTTTCTGGAGGAGCTGAGTGAGGGGTATGGTCAGGGAAGTGAAGCCAGGGATGAAGGTCTGATAATAGTTGGCAAACCCGAGAATCGCTGGACATCCTTCACTCACTGTGGAGCTTGTCAACCACGCAGCAACTCGACCTTGCTCGGCTCCATTGAAATACCATTGGGAGAGATACGATGCCCCAGGAACTCAATGGTGAACTGGAAGAACTGGCACTTCTCCAGTTTTATGTAGAAGCGGTTCTCCCAGAGCCACTGCAGAACCAGGTGCAGGTGGTGCAGGTGACTCTCCCTCGAGTTTGAATAGATCAAAATGTCGTCAAGGTAAACCAGAACAAATTGATCTAAGAGGTCCTGAAAAATGTCATTCATAAAATGTTGGAAGACAGCAGGAGCATTGGTCAACCCAAACGGCACGACTGTGTGTTCAAAATGCCCGTACCTGGTATTGAATGCCATCTTCCACTCATCTCCGGGCCAGATCCACACCAAATTATATGCTCTGCACAGGTCCAACTTGGTGAACACTGTAGCCTCTTGGAGGCTCTCCATCAGTTCAGGAACCAAGGGCAGAGGATACCGATTGCGCACCGTGATGGCGTTTAATTTGTAGTAATTGCAACAAAGCCTCAAGTCACCAGTCTTCTTTTTAACAAACAGAACTGGGGCAGACAGTAGTGATGATAAGGGCTGGATAAAACCCCAAGTGAGATTCTTGTCCAAAAAGTCCCGCAATGCAGCCAACTCCTGGTCCGATATTGAATACAAACGACCCACGAGGAAGGGCGTGTCTGGCGAAAAATCAATGGGACAGTTATAGGAATGGTGTGCGGGCAATTGGTCTACCTCCTGCTCATTGAACACATCCACAGTCCACTAGTTCAGAAGGCATGGACACTCCAGGTGGACTCAGCAACTGTCCTGCGCAGACTTGGCAGGTGTGGTCCATGCATTGCAGGCTCAGGAACATAATCAGGTTCTGGGACCAGTAGATCTGGGGATCATGCATCCTGAGCCATGCCAAGCCCAAGACCATGGGGAAATGCAGACCGGAAATAATGTAGAACTGAATGTCCTCCTCATGCGAGCTGATGGTCAGGCGCAAGGGTTGCGTGGCGGCCTTGATAGGCCCAGACAAAAGCACCCAGCCATTGATGGCACTGAGGGACTGTATTCTGGGCTGCAAACACTGCATCCATGAAGCTTGTGGTGGCACCAGAATCAACCAGGGTGTGCGCCGGAATCCCCTGTGGGCTACCAGCCAGAAAAACTTGTGCTGCCAGGATCAAATACTGAGGGGGTCCAGAATCCATGTCCGCTGGGCGTGACTCGAGGCTGGTGCATGCCTGGCCCAGGGTCTCCCCTAGCTCAGGCTCCAGGTGTTTTGTGACAGGGTTTTCTTTGGCTAGGGACCAGGCACAGGGGCTGATGCCCCTCAATGCTTCTTGGGGCATGAAGCAGCCATGTGCCCAGGTTCTCCACTATACAAACACAACGCCCCTGCACACCATCTGTTGTACTCCATCACCGACAGGTGGGGCCTGGAGGCACCTAGGTCCATGGGCTCCTCCCATGGAGCCGGGTTCTCACGTACAGCAGGTACCACAGAAGTCTCCTGGGAGGCATGATGACTGTTCCATCTCTGCAAGCGGGCATCGATCCTGAGGCACAGATGAACAAGCGCATTGAGGGTTGTTGGACAATCCACCCGAACCAGCTCATCTTGCAACCCATCCTGGAACACGTCCATGAGGGCAGCCTCGCTCCAGGCTGAATCCTGGCTAAGCCACCGGAACTCACTGACATTCCTTCAGGGGTTGCTGGCCCTGCTGCAGTTCCTTCAGATGACAGGCAGCAGTCTGTGTTTTTATGGGGTCCTCATACAACAAATGGAGGTGATCACAAAACCCCCTAAAGTCATCCAACAAAGGACAACCCTGGACCAACAAAGGTGTGGCCCAGTGAACTGCAGAGCCAGAGAGCAGGCTAATTATAAACCCCACTTTATCCCAGTCAGTGGGGAAGTCCTCTGCTGTTAAGCTAATAAATAGCTAGCACTGTCCCCAAAACACTGGAAATATAGCCTGGTTGCTATCAAACTTATCAGGCACAGCCACCGGGCATTTCCTTCTAGGAGGAGGTGGAGCAGCATGAACTTGAAGCTGGCCTAATTGGTTTGCCTGCAAAGCCAGCTGCTGTTGAAGCTAAGCGTTCTCCGCATGAAGCTGTTCCATGTCTCATTAAAGGTTTGTTTCATTTAGGCAGGAAGCAAACTGTTCTGACCAAGGCTTCCAAACCGTAATTACGCACACACATCTTTTAAAAACAAGACTTATTTTATTGCACCATTGGGAACTGAACCGATCAAACTACTTTGCTTCCTGTAAAGGTATCAGCATCTTGGCCTGACTTTTATACCTTATGGGAGGGGCAATTACCTCCCAGCCTTACTCCCGAGGTGCCCCTTTGTTTCAGCTGCTCTCATCTTCTAGCAGCTCTGTGTACACATGCACTGGGAAAAGGCTCCCCTGGGTCCTCTGCCTCGCTGCTGCCAGACTCCGAAGGCTCCAAAGGCAGCACCCTATCCCCAGATGGTCTTGGCCCCATCTCTGCATCGGACACAGGACCCTCGTCCGAATCTTCTCCAGACTCCCTGACTGGTCCCCGTTCTTGCCCACTGCCCGATTCTACTGCCGTCTGCACCGGCTGCTGGCAAACCACAACAAATGCTAGGGGGCATTCAATAAGCTCAAGTGGCTATTTGGGAAGGAGCTGATCCTAAAACTCCCTAACTCAGAGAAGTTGTTTATCATCCAGGCTAATGCCAGTGATGTAGCTATGAGTGCAGATCTCCTCCAGAGAAATAAAGAGGAAAACCTGCAACCATGTGCATACACCTCCAGAAAGCACAATGTGGGAAAAAAAGGCTTTTGTCATCTGTTGGTGGATGGAATGCATTGCTAGACACAAAAAAGAGTTTTCTTGTGAGAACCAAAGTCATTTCCACAGGTGACGAATAAAATTGAAGAGGAGTGCCTGGAGAATCTCCCACTTAACCTAATTGGCCAACATGACCTGTGACAATTGGGGAGGAAGTTATTTCCTATTTTAATTATACTGAAACCATGGGAAAGATTTAGAATTGGTTTTACATTTGACCATGCCAATATGATATATCCAATAAAGAAGTCATTTGAGAAGATTCCAGTCTCAGGGTTCTGATTTGCTTGGATTCGTTAGTCAGAACCTTGACATTTGGTTTGCCACCCTCCTCATCACATCACTCTGTCTCCTTGGATTTCTTGTTGCTAAATTATCATTTATTAAATGAAGTTTTTACACATGATCCAATCTATTATTGTGCTGATATAATTATTAAAACCAACTGCTCTTGTTTTATTACAGAGGCTTACAAAATTTTACCTACACAGAACTCTTTGTCCATTATTATTTATTAATGATAGTGAATTAAATAACTTACCCAATGGATGATTCCTATTTTGGAGGACATCAGCACTCTGGGATGATGGGCTTCTCTCCTCTGCCTGGCTAGCAGAACTTCTCTGTCTTCTGTTAAGAAAAGAAGCAAGAAGAGGCTTCTTCTACTTTGTATTTAATTTCCTACTGCTTTTATATATAAATTAAGCATATTAATAACAAACTCAGTTTGTCAGAAATGAATGTTTATTGAAATACAAACTATATTGATCAGATGATAGATAGGCAGATAGATAATGTGCCGTCAAATTAGTGTTGACTCTTAGTGACCACATCAACATTTATTTAGGCTCTTTCCGTTGTCTGCAAGAATTATTTTAGCAATCTCAATAGAATTAAGAATATGCAAATGTGCATATTCTACAATATTTTCTAATATTTCATATAATGATAAGCTTTAGGTAAAAAATAGCATTCAACATAGTATATTGCTATAAGGAAAATGAATGTGTCAAGGGTGAGATGCCTGTTGGTAAAAATGATATCCAGCTCTATTATCAAATGAGAAGTAAACAGAGGAAGCAAATCTGGGATACGGCGAGATCTCATTTTGGAAGTCCTGAATTCATTTTCCTGAGATAGACCAAGAGAGACACATCCAACATTATTCCATATTTCACTACTTGGGGAAAGTGGTCCATACTAACATATTTCAAATTTCAACCAAGTTTTAAAGAGATCAAGTCCTTAGTGGGATTCCCTTTTGGTTTTGATCCTGCCTGGTTTCAAGCTGCTCTGTGCTTTCAAGAGAATGTAGACCTCAAAAATCTTGGTCCAGATTTCTTTGATAGAGGCCAATTCTGAAAGAGCTCGTGTACCTGATTGCTCCTCCAGGAAGTGAATTTCTCCTCTTAGAAAAGAGCATGTGAATCTGAGGTTAAACATCCAAGAGGTGATGATTCTCTCTGTGGGGATTAGGCCAGTGGTCTCCATGTTTCATCCTTTTAATTAGCATGATCATATACAATATAGCGCACACATAGGAAGCCACACAACTTTTTTTACCTGCTTTTGAGTGAAATATTCAATTTGGGCAAAAGATCTTCAGGAGTATATGGTACACTTTTGCATGTGGCATCAGAACTGCAAAGCACAGTTTGGAGAAATGGCAAGAAACCTGTGCTGGGAAGATTCCGAGGGGCCAGGTAACCTGAAAAGAATGAAATAAAATGATACACCTATGGGAATTAGTGAAAAAATATTTATCTGTTTTTTTAAAAAAAATATGGAAAGGTTTCTGGCAAAAAAGAAATAGAACCATACACAAAAAGAAATGGTACAAATGAAGAACACTTTTTAAAAACAAGCAAAGACTTGTTCAGTGTAGAAATTTACAAGAAAACTGGCCTGCTGGTGCAAAGGTACTTCTCATCTTGGATTCTTGCTACAAATAATTCTAGTGAAAATATGGACTATAGGTGCACATAAATAACTGACAATGCTATTACTTTACAATACTTAAATTAATTAAATTAAAATTAATCCAACTTCATTCAAATCCAAAGGTTGCCTCCAGTATTTACAATGGATCTACTGAAATATAAAGGACCAGTAACTCAGTTGTTAATAAAGTGGTTGTTAAATGAAACTGCCACTGTGCTTATGATCTGAATTTATGAATATAAATATGAGGATTGATTGAAAAGTTACATTTTCTTCTCTGTTGTAACTGTGAACAGTCAGTAAACAAGGCAGTGGCTAAATGAGTACTGCCTGCAACTGGGCTAAGCTAGATATGATTAATGAAGCCTTGTTTACTTCAGTGAATCTACTCTAAAACCAGAGTCCTCTTACCACTATTATTAAGCATTTTTTGATCTGAAACAGACATATGTCAAGGATTTGGTGCTCGCCCTGGTCTCGCCTTCCTCCACTGGAGACAATGGATCTCCCCAGCCCCACCTGGGCTACCAGAGGCACCCAAAGACATGAGCAACATCGAGCTGGCTATGCCCCCCGGCTGTGACACACACACACACTCCCGGTTGCTACCCCCAGCTAGGGCTCCCCCAAGGTCAACCAGAACCTTGATGCAGCCCTCCATGATCTTGAGTTTGACACTCCTGGTCTAGTATATCAAAGAGTAGGATTGGGGGGGACATGATAACTGTCTTCCCAGTACTTGAGGGACTGTCACAGAGATAAAGAGAAAATTGACATATTCTCCAAAGCACAGAAAATAGGACAAGAGGTAATGGGTTGAAGCTTGTTAAAAAGAAAACCAACCTAGAAATAAGGGAAAAAATTCTGATGGTAAGAGCAACTAATCAATGGAATGATTTGCTTACAAAGTTGTGAATGCCTGATCACTGTGTAATGACCTGGGCATGGCATGAAAGCAACACAGTCAGAGATCAGGTCTAACTCCCCTTTATTGCTCCAACTTTTTCCCCAAACTTCCCCACGTTTACTACAAGTCCTGGAGCAAAGCTCTCACAGTGCATCTTCAGCAGCCTGTGGCCGTGAGCAGTCCAGCAAGCCCGGTTACCCAAACAGTAACCAGGGCCAGCAATCCAGTAAGCCAGGTTAGCCAAACTGTAACCAGGGCCAGGAGTTCAGCAAATCAGGCAAACCGGACAAGCCCCGCAAGACAGAGCTGTGGCCACCTGGTTTGAGCAGGTGGCCACAGTAATCACCAAGTGTCGGCAAGTATAGACAAGGTTCCACAGGTTCAATGCTTGTCCCTGACAAATGCCCCTCCCATTGGCACTTCCTTACATCTTCGTCCCCAGCAGGTGCGCCTTAGTCCCCAGGTGCGCCTTGTGAAGGGGTATTCTCCTTCCTCAAAGCCAGCTCAGTCTGTGTTGATCTCGCCTTCCGTCTTCTCTCCGTGCTCTAGGATCAGGAGGGGATGGTCCCTGCTTGTCATCTGAGCTCTGTCTCCTGCTCCTCCCTGTCTGCAAGCCTTTCTAATCCTGACAAGCTCTGGCCAGACTGGCTCTGCCCTTCCCCAGTTTCCTCCAAAGCCAACGGAGCTGCCCTCTTGATCTCTCTTGGCTCTTGTTCCAGCTCATCTTCCCCTGCAGATTCAGACTCCGAAGGGGGCCTGACACACTGGAGGTGTTCAAAAACTGTTTCACCATTTGATTGGGATGGGTAAGACTCCTGCCTTGAACAAGGGGTTGAACCCCAGCACTATTATTCTATGTTCCTGTTCTGACCTGTAAGATTCCTGAGAACCATGGAGAAAGTGGGGCATCTTCCCATTCACTCAAACCAGGTGGCCACAGCATCTTTCCATGTTCTTGCTAGAATGTTTTACTCTGTCACCTTGAAATCAGATAAATGATTGGTCAGAGAGGAAATTCTCTGAAGGATCTGGCAGGTATGTGTCATATGTTTGTAAAGGACTACCATGCTAATATCTGCCATAATGGAATTCCATATTACATCTCATCTAGATAGAAGATATAATTCTTTATTGGCCAAGTGTGATTGGACAAACAAGGAATTTGCCTTGGTGCAAATGCTCTCAGTATACATAAAAGAGTCAAGAGTCAAGAATCATAAGTACAACACTTAATGATAGTCATAGGGTACAATAAGCAATCAAATGCCATCATTACTTTCAAAATTTAAAGATGGATAGTAATTAAGAAAAATGTGCCTCATCTGAGGACTCCCTTTCCATGGGCTCATACTTTGGCATTTACAAAACCAGAGCAAATATTTGTTAAAATATGCAAAGAATAAAAAGAATAGATTCATCCTTATAATGCCTATCAACAATTACTTACAGTTTGATTGGGCTTCTGGAGGAAATTGTATTCGAATGACAGCCATAAGAATGAATGAAAATACAGGCAAAGAAATTAATGTGAAAGACCAAAGCTGTGAAAAAAGAACAAATTATATTCAAGTTTGATATATTTGGAACATTTTAACAATAATAATCATACAAAAAGAACACCTGAAAGGCAGGAAAAATGAACAACTAATGTCAATTTTCATTTTAGCATAAAGAACAAACTTTGTTATAGAAAGTCCCAACTTCTGCTAATTAGGAAATATTGGTATTGAAAACTCTGCCAGAGAAGGCAGATTCATACCGTAAGTTATTCTGGGGCAATGATCTTACGGCATGGTTAGAGAAGCAAGGATGGACAGTTGCTTCCTTGTTTGCTTCCTTGGAAAAGGTTTATTTTTATGGCTTATACATGCTTTAAGAACTTTGAAGGCTTTTGTTTTATTTGACAATTAAAAGTATCTGAAAATCAGCGACATTATTAGGTGATTTGTTACAGGATTTCAAAGATATGGCCTTAGGTAGCTCTTTTGGGCTAGAAGACTATGTGAAAAGACATCAATTATTTTTTAAAAAATGTAAATACTCTGTAGTCTTGCTAAACAACCTGGATATGCTTTCAATTTAATTTACTGTATATCACTGCATTACAATTCTCCAACGAGTGCTAATATTTGATCCTGCTTTCTACCCACAAAAAAGTAGTAATATATGAATATATATATATATATATATATACATATACACATATACACATATAAACATACATACATATACATACATATACATACATATACATATGTACATACTCCCCCATCAGTGAAGAAATCCAGCAACGAATCATACCCAGAGAAAAATCATCCAGATGCCCCAAGCTTTATGGTCTCCCCAAAATACACAAAGAAGGAACCCCACTCAGACCAATAGTCAGCTCCATAGGCTCACCTCTACAAAACCTAGCCAAATTTCTCGCCAAACAACTACAACCTTATGCAGAATCCATCAACTCACACGTAAGAAACTCATTCCAGTTCATCGAGATCATAAAGAAACAAAACTTACAACCTAGCGACCTACTAGTAAGCTTCGATGTCATATCCCTCTTCACCCAAGTGCCAATAAAAGAAGCCTTGACAGCCATCCAAAACAAATACAACCCCCCCCAAGCACATCCTAGATCTAACCAACCACTGCCTATCCAATACATACTTCACCTACAATGGACAAAAATACAAACAAATAGAAGGAGCACCCATGGGATCACCCCTCTCACCTGTCATCGCTAACCTCTACATGGAACACTTTGAAACACAAGCTCTAGAAAAATACGACCACAAACCCAAACTCTGGCTCAGATACGTAGATGACACCTTCATAATCTGGCCACATGGGAAAGAAAAACTGAACAACTTCCTCACACACCTCAACAGCCTACACCCCAAAATACAATTCACCATGGAAACAGAAGCCAACAACCAACTTCCCTTCCTAGATGTCTTGGTATACAAAAGATCCAATGGCTCCCTAGGACACACCATCTACCAGAAGAAAACACACACTAACCGCTATCTACATGCACTCTCACACCACCACCCAGCACAGATCAATTCCGTAGCCAAGACACTCATCTCCAGAACAAAATGCTTAGCCGATGAACAACACCAAAAAACCGAACTACACACTCTCACCAACGTACTTGCAGCCAATGGATTCCAAAGAAAGAAGATTACCCACCTAATCCAAAAAGAAACCCCAACCAAAATCCAAGACAGAGAACAAGAAAACGGCAAAGCCCTCCTCCCATATATAAAAGGCACTACAGACAAAATTAGCAAGATCCTCCAAAAACACAACATCAAAACAGCATTCTGCACAAACAGAAAAATATCCACCATCCTAAGAAACCCCAAAGACAAAATCGAATTAGAAAACCAAGGAGTATACGAAATCCCCTGCACTGCCTGCCCTACCACATACATTGGACAAACTAACAGAAGAATAAATGCACGCATTGAAGAACATAAGAACTCAATCAAAAAAGAAGAAACGACCTCTTCCCTGGTCCAACACCTCAAAGCCACAGGACATGAAATTGATTTTAAAAATACCAGAACTATCGCCAAAACCGAACACTTCAACAGCAGAATAATCAGAGAAGCCATAGAGATAGAAAAACGGCCACACAGCATGAACAAACGAGATGACACCTCCCGCCTTCCAGCCATTTGGAAACCCGCCCTCTAAAGCAGCCGCGACCCCCGCGAGCTGCACGCCACCCCTCCCCCACGCACGTCCGCCCCCAGTGAAACGACAACCGCACTTCTATGTAGAAAACAGACTCCCACCCATTCAGAAAATGAGAAACGACCATGGACCAGAAGCTGCACTGCAGCTGCATCACTACCCACTTCAAACCCCTCCGAGCCATACATGAAGCAAACCGACACCCACTATGAAGATGCAACAGGACCACGAACTAGAAGCCAAACAGCAAGATCACAACTCACCAGTTCAAATCCCCCAGCAACTAAGACTAACCGGAGCACAGCCAAGCCCCCACCTGAACAGAACACGCCTCCAACCAATCAGAACACGGCTAACCCCCCAACCAATCAGAACACAACCAAACCCCCTACCAATGAGAACACACCCCCACCCAATCAGAACACAGCCAAGCCCCCACCCAATCAAGTCCCACCCCCACTGGCAGTTAAAAGGAGGAAGCAGCTGCAATCTCACATTACTCTGAAAAGCACAGAGCCGGAGACAGAAGCCTGAAGATGATGAATGAGACTTC